TCTCTGACTTTTCTCTGATGTCCATAAAGAATACAAACTTTTTTCCTTTGATATAATAAATTTAATTCTAAATTTCTGTAAAATTCAATTATTTTCCAAATTTTTAGTTAGAATAATTCTTGAAAAATATAATATGATTATATTTTAAAATCATTTTTAAAAGTAAACAAATAAAATTCAATAAAAAAAAAAATTTTTCAATGAAATTTGACAAAATTTTCAATTGTTTCAATTTTTAAAAATTATTTGCAAAAATACAATTATTTAAAAAAAATTTTAATTACAATTCTTTCAGGAAACAATATTTTTTCGGAATTTCTAAATTAAATTATTTAAAACTCAAATACTTTTCATTAATCAATTCAAAAGAACTTACTCTTATTTAATTTTTCCACAAGAAATAAAAATTTCAATTAATTTCAATGAAAAACCTTTTGAAATTTTAACAATTTCAAAAAATTGCAACTGTAATTTTTCCAAAATTCAGTTATTTTTTAAAAGAATTTTTGAATAAAATTATATTCAAAACTTTTTGAGAATTTTTAAATAAAATTATATTCTTAAAACTTTTTAAGAATTATTAAATAAAAATAATGTACCTAATTAATAATTTTTTGAAATAAAAATTGAAATATTTGTATACTTTTGCTTCCCTTAAATTTTCAAAGAATTGAATTTAAAAATCTTTAAAAAAATTAATTCCTTAACATTCCTGTTAGAAAAACTTTAAATATTCAATTATTTTTTAAAATTTTAACTAAAATTTTTTTAAATCAATTTCTATCAGAATTTTATCAAAAATACAGAAAATTAAAAAATTATACAGAATTAAAGGAAAAATTCCAGAAACATAAAAAATGGAAAAAAATACAGAAAGTGCAAAAAAAAGGCATAAAATAGAAAAAATAGAGAAATTTATGGAACAAAATGGTGACAAAATAATTTGGTATTTCTGTATTTTTTATTTCCTGTATTTTTTTTTTGTCACTTTTGTTTTTTTCATTTTCTGCATTCTCTTATTTTTTGCATTTGTGCAAATTCTGTAATTTTTTTTGCATTTTCTGTATTTTTTCCATTTTCTGTAATTTTCTGTAATTTTACGTATTTTTCATTTTCTGTATTTTTTTATTTTCTGCATTTTTTCTAATTTCTGTATTTTTTTGCATTTTCCGTATTTTTTCCCATTTTCTGTATTTTTTGTAATTTTTGTCTTCTCCGTATTTTTTTATTTTTTGCATTCTTTCGAATTTCTGTAAATTGTTTTGTATTTTCCGTATTTTTTTTATAATTATTTTTTATAATATTTTTTTTTATAAAAAAAAAAGAAAAAGGAAAATACAGAAAACAAAAAATACAGAAATACAGAAAATGCAATATTACAAAAAATAGAAGAAATACAGGAAACAAAAAAAAGAAAATGAAAAAAATATAAGAAATACAGGAAATAAAAAATACAGAAAATACAAAAATAACAGAAAATAGCAAACAATCCGAAAATCACAGAAACTGTAGAAAAAACAGAAAATAAAAAATACAGAAAATGCAAAGAAATAAAAAAATAGAATAGAAATACAGGAAATAAATAAAATTGAAAATGAAAAACTACCAAAATTACAGAAAACAAAAAATATTGAAAATGAAAAAAATACGGAAAATAGAAAAATTGCAGAAAATAGCAAAAGTACAGAAAACAAAAAATACAGAAAATGCAAAAAAAGACAAAAAGTAGAAGAAATACTGGAAATAAAAAATATAAACAATGAAAAAAATTACAAAAAATAACAAAAATAGAGAAAACAAAAAATACAAAAATGTAGAGAATGCAAAAAAAATACAGAAATATAGAAAATGCAAAAAAAAAAAAAAAATACAGAAAACAAAAAATAATATAAGTTTTGTCGCAAATTTAGTAGATGAGTGCAAAGTCTGAAATTCAGAGAAAATTTTCAACAAAAAGAAAAGAAAGAAAATTGTATAAATATCCAGTGAAAAGAAATGCATTTAAAATTTTCGAGCAATTTTGACAAGTTTAGAGAGTTTGAGAATAAAATATATACGAAATATAATATAGAGATAAATCAAGATGATTATAATACTTCGAAATTAATCCGCAGTTTGCTATAAAGATATAAGTAAAGGCAAAGTCTTTGATATTTGGGCGTGTGCGGATGATGAATTTTGAGAGTTAAGATGAGAGTAAGAGAGAAATCGGTTGGCTAAGAGTTAGCGAGACTAGAACAAATAGTGGTTGTAGTCAACTTCAACTTGTGCGGTATTTTCTGCACCCTTGTGTGGGTATATATTCGTATATATTCGCAGGAACTCCCTCAAAATGACGTTTGTAAAGGCGAGAGGTTGAAGTGTGCACACGAGAGAGACGATCTTGTCTGAGAAGTAAGTATAATGGTGAGTAACCCATATTGACAGTGCAGTTTTCCAAAGTGTGCGTGGAATAAATGACATGTATACTGAAACAAAGAACCGGATAATCACTATGCCTTTGATACAAGCTTGACTTCAAAAAACGGCTACTTAATACTGGGAGAAATAAAAAGAAACGTAGTACATGCACTAAAAATGTTGATTATCATATTTTTATTTTTATTTTTCGACTAAAAATATTATTTTTATTTATATAATAATAATAATCGAGATAATATTCTGTCTTTGCACGTAAATTTAGAGCTTTTTGATTTCAAATTGTTTTACAACTCAAATTTTCATGCTAAAAGTTTGCCAATTAATTTTGTAAATTATGTTTTAGTGAAATTAGTTCCCCTATGGAAATTTTACAATAACAGGATTTTCACAGAACATTAAAGTAATTTTTTTAAATTATTAAACAATATGTTGAATGTAAAAAAAATTCGAATAATCAAGAATTTGTACAAAGAATTCAATTATTTTCTAAAGATTCTATAAAATTCTTTGTAAGGATTAAATTATTTTTATAATTATAATAAAATTCTTAACAAGAATTCAATTATTAAATAGATCCAATTAATTAATTTTTTCTAGAAAGAATTCAATTATTATCCAAAATTTTTATTAAATTCTTTGCAAGTATTCAAATTCAATTATATATTTAAAAATAATAAAATTCTCCTGACAGAAATTCAATATTACTTTGAATACAATATTAATTAAAAATATTTAATTATTTCCAATACAATTTTAATAGATTTTCTAGAAAAAATTCAATTATTTTCTAAACTATTTATAAAATTCTTTATGAGAATTGAATTATTTTTATAAATAATAACATTTTTCGCAAGAATTTAATTATATTTATAAATAAATAATAAAACTCTTGACAGGAATTCAATTATTAAATTGATTTAATTAATGAAATTGTTCGAAAAAATTCAATTATTTTCAATACAATTTTAATAGATTTTCTAGAAAAAATTCAATTATTTTTTTTAAATTTTTATAAAATTCTTTGCAAGAATTGAATTATTTTTAAAAATAATTTTCTTCGCAGGAATTCAAATATTTTTTTAATATAATAAAATTTTGACAGGAATTCAATTATTTTCAGAAATAATAAAATTTTTGACAGGAACTCAATTATTTTTCAAAGTTTTTATAAAATTCTTTGCAAGAATTGAATTATTTTTATGAATAATAAAATTCTTCGCAGTAATTCAATTATTTTTATAAATCAGTAAAATTCTTGACAGGAATTCATATTATTAAATTGATTCGATTAATAGAATTTTCGAAAAAAAGGAAATTATCTTGAATACAATCGATAAAAATTGAGGTAAATAACAAAATAAATAAAAATACAGAGAATAGTCGAAATAATAAAAATTTTTCAGTAAATTGTGAATATTTATAATAATTATTAATTAGTAATAAAAAAAACTGTAAAATTACAATTTTAGAGAATTTTTATTTCTTAAGAAGTGAAATATTAATTTTATTATCACTTTGAAAAGGAAAAAATGTTAAAAATACATAAAAACCATAAAAACTCGAAAAATTTGAGGTTATGTAACACTTAATTTCTACATTAAAATTTGTAATTAATTATAAACAATTTGCAAGTGAAAAATATTAAAGATCCTTAGAAAATAACATTAACTGAATATTGATAAAAAATATTTTTACTTTAATTAAAAATAAAACACTAAAAAAAGTTAAAAATAAAACATAATTTTTTACGAAATAACTGAAATAACATACGTTTCTATAATGTATATATCTATATATACAGTCCAATAAGAAATAAAAATCATATAATCAATTCGATATACATATTACTATTGCATTTCTTTCTATCATAATAACGAAAATTATTGGAAAAAAAGGAATAGAAACTTGTTAAAATTGAATACAAACCTGAGGAAATTGCTGAGTGTCATGAAAAACCGGTACACCACATGGACACGAAAAAGGGTAAATTTATCATTTTCTTGATTTATTCCATTGATTTTTATCACTCACTATCACTTATTACTATTTGTACTAATATTTTCTTAATTTTTCATCATGCATATGATAAAATTGGTAAATTAATTCACTGAAAATAAACAAATTACTATTGACACAAAGATGGCTTCTTGGTTGAATTTTTTCACTTCTTTCAGGAAAGTTCGTTAAATGTTCAACAAAGTCACGTGACCAAATTTTGAATATTTCATTTCCGGTTTTGCAAATCACTGTAAAGTTTCTGTTGTAAATATAGTAATTTGTTCCACACTATCGGACTTTGATATTTAGTCGAAAGAATACAGAAATGCAATGTTATTTTAATTACATTTTTTCTAATTAATTACACAGAAATAAGAGAAAATTATAATTAAACATGTCTAGTGGTAATAGTGCGCATGCGCTGTATTGTTAATTCCGCTCCGCTTGTCCAGAAGACACCGACTGTCGGTAACGGTTTCCGGTGATTGGACAAGTTTAGTTTTTAAGTTGCCTACCAGGTGGCGGTGTATGCAAAAGTCAGAAAGTTTTTATTTATGTACTGTTGGTATCAGTGTATCAACTATCAATTGTTGTTAATTTGTTTGTTTAGATAAAGTTTAGTTGTTTACGTTCTTTAGTAGTCGTTATTTGCTATATAAATAATAGTAAACTATTTTAAAAGTCTAGGTATTTATTTAAAAATATTACTAATAATTATTTTGTTAATAATTGAAATGAATTTTCTCATTTGTAAATAAACGAATAAATAAAATTTTGTCATAAACAAAAAAAAGTGAATTTTAACCTAAAAATGAGTGGAAAAACAATATTTGTCACTGTGGGAACAACAAAATTTGATAATTTAATAACAACTGTAACCAGCAATGATGTTTTGAAGGTAAATTTTGCAATTTAATAAAAAATACAATATTGACAGAATCCGACTGACAGTCGAATGAAAAGTAAGTAGTTTCGTATTTTATTGTAGAAAAAGACAAATTAAATTTTTAATTCGTTTTGGTAGAAGGGTAGAGAATTTTCAAGATTTTAAATAAGTTGTATTTGAATAAAAATTAATATCTTTTGTCGCAATAAAGAGGATTAGTAAAATTTTAGGTTATGTTACCTAAATCGTTTCGATCGTTTTTCATTGACAGGAAGTCGTAATTTTTATACAAAAAATAAAACTAAATTATTGAAAATTTATTACTTTACTTTCTATCCAAACAAATTTGAAATTTAATTCGTCTTTCTCTTTTAAAATACGAAATTATGACATTCGATTAACTTTTGTTTTGATTATTTGTCAGATTCTGACTTTAAAATACTTTTTACTGTAAATAATTTAATTTAACCAAAAATTTGTTTCTTTAAATAAGAAGAAAGGGTATATATTCTCCCTACTTTCTTCTTATTTAAAACAAAAATAGTTTAAAAGAAGAAAATGTTTATTTCTTTAAAATAGAAAGAAAGTGTTACTATTTTGCATAAAATAAAAAGAAAAACAATTTTAGGTATTAAATAAAATGGGATATAATCATTTAGTATTGCAAATCGGTAACACTAGTTTGGATCCTGATTGTACGGCTCGCTGTGGATTCAAAAAAATTGAATCATTTCATTTATCACCGTCTCTTGAGAAATATATTTCATCAGCTGATTTAATAATTAGTCACGCAGGAGCCGGAAGTTGTTTGGAGGCACTCGAAGCTAAAAAGCCATTAATTGTCGTAACAAATGAATTACTAATGGACAATCATCAACTGGAATTAGCTGAACAGCTATATAAAGATGGTTACTTATACTATTGCACCTGCAGCACTTTATTAAATACTCTTCAAACGTCAGATTTATCCGAATTAAAACCATTCGTCTATGAAAAAAGTAAACAAATAGCTGCCGAAATTGATAAATTTATGGGTTTCGCTTGAATTATGTTTCAATGAAAATTTTTTAACTAGAAACGAAATTAATATAAATAATCTCCAGGATTAATCGTTTTCTTTGCTTTTTGTTTCCTAATTTTTCTTTTTTTAATGCTTTAAATTTTAATATTAATGAAATTCTAATTTTATGCTTTGAAGATTAAAAAATACCAAAAATTAATTAAACCAAATTGTTTTTAATTAAAAAGCTACTTTTTTCTTTATTTTTGAGGAAAATTTGCATCGCTAATACTTGAAATAAAAAAAAATCTAAAAATTTTAATTAAATTCTTCACGAGAATTCAATTATTTTCATAAATAATAAAATCCTTCTTAGAAATTCAGTTATTTTTTAAAACATTGATAAATCTTGAATTTTTTCTTTAATTATTCGCAACTATTTAATTATTTTCCCAAATAATAAAATTTTTTTACTAAAATTCAGTTATTTAAAAAAAAATTAAATTAAATTATTCGAAAAAATTTAATTTATTTATATTTACAAAAAATGAAATTCTTTACAAAAATTCAATTATTTTTAATACAATTTTAATAAAATTTCATGAAAGAATTCAATTTTTAAAAAATTTTTAATAATATTTTTCAAAAAAATTCAATTATTTTCTAAAATTTTATTAAATCCATCGAAACAATTCAATTACATTTTGTAAATAGTAAAATTCTTTGCCAAAATTCAATTATTTTTCCAAATAATAACATTTTTGACGAGAATTGAATTATTTAAAAAGAATTAAATAAAATTCTTCTCAAGAATTCAATTATTTTCATAAATAATAAACTTTTTCTCAGAAATTCAATTATTTTTTAAAAAATTGATAAATTCTTTTATTAATTCTTTACAATTATTCAATTATTTTTCCAAATAATGACATTTTTCACGAGAATTCAATTATTTTTAAAAAAATTAAATAAAATTCTTCGCTAAAATTCAATTATTTTCATAAATAATAAAATTCTTTGTCAAAATTCAATTATTTTCAAAAATCAGTTATAAAACTTTAAAAAAAAAATTGAATTAGTTTCTAAAATTCAATAATTAAATGTTTAATTTTAATTTTTAACAAGCACGATTATTTTAAAAACTTGAAAGAAATTATTCATAAAATTCAATTATTTTTAAATATTTTATTAAAATGACTAAAGCAACTCCATTTAAAAAGATAAAAATTCTTAAAAAATACAAATAATAATAACAATAATAATAATAACAATAATAATAATAATAATAATAATAATAATAACAAATTTTTTGAAAAGAATTTAATTAGAATTTTCAAAAATTATATCAAAATTCTTCACGAGAATTCAATTATTTTCCCAATTAATAAATTTTCTCACGAGAATACAAAATTATTTACCAAGAGTTATATAAAATTCTTCGCAAGAGTTCAATTATTTTCAAAAATAATAAAATTCTTCTCAGAAATTAAATTATTTTTTTTTAAATTAATAAATTCTTTCTTGAATTCTTCACAATCATTCAATTATTTCCCCAAATAATAAAACTTTTCAGAAAGAATAAAAATAAATATTTTTGATTGAAATCAGAAAACAGTCAGGGAAATACTGAATCAAATTTTTGTGAATGGACTAAAACAATTTTTTTTCATTCGTTAAAATTAATTTTCGATAGCTACTTTTTTCAGTATTAAAGATACTTTTTGATACTTTTTAAAAATTAATTATTGAGTATGAAGTCTGGATATTTCTTTTATAATTTTTAATTTGCACAATGATAAATTAAAAACGTAACATTTGCTTGTAAAATTAATTTAATTTAAATAAAAATGAAATGATGAAGAAATAAAAATGAAGAAATATTAAATAAAAAACAGAAAAGAATTTCAATTATTCGATTTTTTAATACTTTAATAGATATATTTCGATATTCAACATAATTTACAATAAAATGTAAGCGTCATACGCATTCTTCGATAGTTAAAAATTTGACGGATAGTTTAAGAGGTACTCACGTCAATGTCTAGAAACATTTATCTATAATTTATACAAGATTTTTTTTTTCATATTTTAATAAGGAGAAAATTGCGTGGACCTCACAATATTCAATTCGCGAACAAAAATAACGTTCGTTGGGAATTTCTTTTTTTTCTGCTTAGTAATATACTGTACAATCATTAAAAACTGAATTAGAAAAAATGGAGAAAACTTTCTTTGTTGAGTTCAATAATATGTAGAATTGGATATAATCTCAAAGGTCTTATTCTTTTTATCAATGGCATGTAGAATATGTATATATAAATATAAATATTATATCATGTACAGTAACAGTTTAATTCTCAATATTAGTCCCTTTCTCTTTTATGACGACTCGTTCCCTTTAGCAGATGAAATTAAGCTTTAATTTTTTTTGTTTTATAATTCATGAAGATACACGAACATGGAGACGAAACTACTTAGATTAGCAGTAGAATTATTTTTCTTTTTAGAATATTCATTTGCCGGCAAGACCAAGTCGGGTCATTTCTTTCAATAATGTGTTTCCCATTTGTGCTGGACTTCTTGTTACAATTACGCCTGCCTGTTGGATTAATTTTTAATTTTTGATTAGCAAAAAATAATTGAGAGTTAATAAATAAATTTATTTCTATAAATTTATATTTATAAATTTATTTATAGATTAAATTTGTTTTTCTTTTGAGAGCTTTTACCTTTTCAAGTGCGTCAATTTTGTCTTGAGCTCCGCCTTTACCTCCGGAAATAATGGCACCTGCGTGACCCATTCGACGTCCAGGAGGCGCAGTAATTCCAGCAATGAATGATACAACTGGTTTTGCCTTTGGCCCCTAAAACGAAATTTTTTTTCAAAATTAATTATTATTATTAATTAAATTATTGAATTAATAATATTATTAATTAAATCCATTTCTTATTAGATTTTTATGATTCTGTGAAACAAAATGAAATTCGATGATAGTTCCATAATTTTCGAGGCTTTTCCATGACTTTAATATATTCAAATAATGTGATTAAAACACACGTTTGTTTAATAAAATCGGAATTATTGTCAACTAACCGAATTCTTCTCAATGAGATATTCCGCTGCTTTTTCCTCGGCGCTGCCTCCAATTTCACCGATCATAATAATACCATCGCAGGCAGAATCATTTAGAAAAACTTCTAAACAATCGATAAAATCTGTGCCATTGAATGGATCGCCACCAATTCCAACACACAGCGTTTGTCCCAAACCGGTCTGTAAATTTTAACACATTTTTTCATAAAATAGTCTAGAATTTCCTTTTAAATTTGAAAAAAGAAATTTGTTTTTTTCTTCTAAAAAAGAAAACTTACAAGAGTTGTTTGGTTCACGGCTTCGTAAGTCAGCGTTCCTGACCTAGAGACAATTCCAATTTTTCCCTTTTGATGGATATGTCCTGGCATAATTCCAATTTTACACTGTAAAATTTAAATTTTCAACGATTAATGTATTGTTAATTTTTGGGAGAAGAAAAAAATGTAAAAATAGATTTAATTGGGAATAAACACAAACCTGCTCGGGAGCAATAATTCCTGGACAATTGGGACCAATTAGACGCGATTTACTTTGTTCGAGAAGACGTCTTTTAACTTTAACCATGTCGTGTTGGGGAATACCCTCAGTGATGCAAACAACTAAAGGCATTTCAGCTTCTAGTGCCTCCATTATTGCTGACGCTGCACCGGGTGGAGGAACGTAAATTACCGTAGCTGTAGCTCCCGTTTGTTCTTTCGCCTGCAAAGTAGAAATTCTTTTCTTAAATTCCAATTATTATTCCATAAAATATTTTTTAAATATTCCAATTATTTCTCAAAAAAAAATCTTTTCTTTTTAATTCAAATTATATTTCAACAAAATATTTCGAAAAAATCAAATTATTTCTCAATAAAATGTTTTTTTTTAAATTGAAATTATTTTTCGACAAAATAATCCCAACAATTTTTAGTTTTCATCAAAATATTTTTTGATATTTAAACTATTTTTCAAGTAATCTTTTAAATTCAAAAATTGAATTTATTTTACAACAAAATATTTTTTTTAATTCAAATTAGTTTCTAAATAAAATATTTTGATAAATTCAAATCTACTTAAAAAAATTAAAGTTAATAATTGATAATTTAATTTACTTGACTATGTTTTCATTTCAATACAACATTTTTATTAAAATTTACCCAGAAAAAAATTCTTTTCTCTCAAAAGAAAAAACTGAAACATTTTTCTTAGAGATATAATTAAAAGATTATTAAGAACTACTTAAAACTAAATATAATCAACTTTCTAAAACTAATGAAGCTATCACTAAATTTAATTAGAGAAACAAAATTTCTTCAATTTATCAAAACGGATGAAAAAAATGTTATTAAATATTAAAAAAATCAAAAAATGCAAAATAAAAAGAAGTAAACGATTTTTTGAATAAAAGAGAAAATAAAATATAAATTTTCTCAACTAAAGTGGATATTTCGTCTCACAAGTAATTTAAATTAAAAATTGTTTTATGAGCCGTATTGTTTCTTAGAAAAAAATTATCTACATCCACTTGTGATAGTAATCTACAATAAATAGAAATTTTTAAAAATATTAATCCTAAACTTTGAGCCTCGCTTCAAGAAGAAAATTATCTCGAGGGAATTAAAAATTAAAAAGAGTACAATTTTATTTATGAATCTAAAAATGAGTATCAACTGAAAATGAAAGAAAAAAACACGATAAATGTGTTGATGCATATTTCTTCATCTATCAAATGAGTGCATTAAGGTCAGCACGATTAAATCGTTCATTTCTCGTTTTACATTTTCTCCACAAGTGCAACAAACTAATTTGATTTAAAAAAAAATAAAATTCTATATAAGCAGGAAAAAAAAATTAACAAAAATTTGATTTAGTATTTCCCTGACTATTTCCTGATTCCAATCAAAAATATTTATTTTCTAATCCTGATGAGAAAATTTAATTCTAAATTTTTATCCTAAAAAATGCAATTGTATTTAAAAGTATTTTTTAAAGTAAACAAATTGAATTATTTAATAAAATTTAATTTAAATTCTTCACAGAAATTAAGAAAATAAATTAATAATTTTTCAAAGTAAAAATTTAAATGTTATTACAGTTTTACAACAATTAAAATTTTCAACGATTTCAATTTAATATAATCTTTTAAAATTTAGTTATTTCTTTCTTTAATAATTTTAATTAAAATTTTCGAAAATTATTGAATTTTATGAACAATTTCTTTCAATTTTTAAAAATAATCATGTTCGTTAAAAATTGAAATTAAACATTTAATTATTGAATTTTATTAAAATTTTAGAAATTAATTGAATTCTTTTGAAAAATTTTATAAAAAATTAAGAAAAAATTAAATTCTTTAGTGGAATTCTTTTCAATATAATTAAATTTTTGCAAAGAATTGTACTATTTACAAAAATATAATTGAATTGTTTCGAAGGATTTATTAAAATTTTAGAAAAAAATTGAATTCTTCCATGAAATTTTCTTAAAAATTGTATTAAAAATAATTGAATTTTTGCAAAGAGTTTAATTTAATTTTTTTTCAAAAAATTAAATTCTCGTAAAAAATTTTATTATTTGGGAAAATAATTGAATAATTGTGAAGAATTAAAGAAAGATTTCAAGAATTTATCAATTTTTTAAAAAATAATTGAATTTCTCAGAAGAATTTTATTACTTTAGAAAATAATTGAATTTTTGCAAAGAATTTTACTGTTTTTAAATATAAATTGAATATTTTTGAATAATTTATTAAAATTGTATAAAATAATTGAATTCTTGCGAAGAATTTTATTTGTTTTTGTAAATAAAATTTAATTCTCGTAAAAATTTTATTATTTGGGAAAATAATTGAATTCTTGTGAAGAATTTTATTAAAATTGTATAAAATAATTGAATTCTTGCGAAGAATTTACTAAATTTGTAAATTAATTAATAGAGTAAAAATTAAAAATTTGATTTCAAATTTAAATTCGAATAAAAATGGAAGCTTAAAATTATGAATCTCGAAATAAAAAGAAGCGGAAACTTACCTCTTTGACAGATTTATAAACAGGTTTTCCAAGATGTTGGGTGCCTGCTTTTTTTGGATTAACACCGCCGACAATTTTTGTGCCATAATCAATAGCTTGTTGACAGTGAAATGTTCCTTGTTTACCGGTAAATCCTTGGCAAATGACTTTTGTATTAGAATCTATTACCAGATTTTTTCTTGTGTCTGTATAATTAAATCTTACTTGAGTGCGTAAGAGGCTACTGCGACTTCCAACTGCAAAAATAAATTAATAAAAATCTTTAATAGAGAAAAAAAAACAATCAACTTTTGCATAATATTATTTAATCAAAACAGAAAATAAAACAGAGTTTCAAGTTTTTTTTTAAAGAAAGATCTTTTTTATTAGAAGAAATATTACTCCAAATATCATATTTCTGACGTATTAACAGATGCAATAATAACAAAGTATTAACAGACAAAGCTAACACCGCACAAGAATTTTATTTTTAGCCAATTCTAATTCAGCCCAGAATTCGAGATCAAGGTCTCTGATTGATCATCAAGGAACGAGGTCATGAACAATACAATAATTATAAAAACAAAAACAAGTCTTGCAAATTTTCTCACTCGATAAAATTACTTAATATTCACCGATTCATGTAAATCTAAATATTGAATTTTTTCTTTTTCTTTAAGACTTTAAGAAATTAATATTTTGTTTTAAGGTTAGAATTCCCCTTGGAAATATAGGAAATAATCCAACAATTGGATTCAAACAATAAAAGTTGATTTTTATTGAAAATGTTTGAAAAAACAGGAAGAATGTGTCAATTACATAATAAAATGTTAATTTGAATGAACAACGGACAAATGACCTGATTATTATTGACAAATTGAGAGCGATAAAATTGGATTTAATGGGTTGAGAGGAAATTATATTTATTTATTTTTTTTCTTGTTTATTTAAAGAGGAAGAGAAGATAATGACCTTTGTAACCAATTATATATGAGGGTATAATATGTTTGTGAATCACTATACATTGTCGGTATATTGAACTTACCTGCAAATTTTGAAAATGCTCTAGTTGCCACAGCCATTTTTTCTTCTTTATATTTGTTTTCTAACTTTTTTTCACTCCGGCAAAATAACTACTATACTAGAATTCTATTAATTATTGGTCTAATCACCATTAAATTCCTATCTAATGTGAGCTAAAGAGAAAAACAGATTGTGAAAGATAAAGTTGCAAGTCGCAGCCCTCGTTTGCCTCGTACGTTGCTGCGCGGTGATAGCACTTTGACCACGAACTTAACAAATACGAGAAGTGAAAAATGGGTTTTTTTTTCGCCAATGACAATTTACTCTCTAGATAAGACCGAATTATTTTTTTCTTTATTAATATAATAATAATATATGAGGCTCTCAATACTTTCTTTTATCTTTATTTTATTTACATAAATAAATAGAATTTTATTTTTCCTTTTGTACTTTGAAATTCGCCGAACTAACTACTGCAAAAACAGTCGATAATTTTTTTTTTTTGCGGGAATTTCAAATTAAATGTCAATTTTTTTTACTTTTGTTCGTTTTTTTGTTTATTATGTACTTTAATTATTGTATTCGGAAAGGAATTTGAAATCGCCATTCGAAACATGAAAATTAAATATTTTTGTCAAAAGAAATTAATATAAATTAATTATATTTACAGGGAGAGGAAACTCGGTTGGTAAACTTTGTGAATAATTATGAGGGCGCTGATTGTCATCCGGTTGGGTTCAATTTCCGGCGCGGTGCGTCCATCTTTCCTTTTGTAAATTGCCTGTTGAACGTGTCGGTTCTCTTGCGGAGCTAAGGCCAATTTTTGGCGACTACACGTTTATTCGCAATAAAATTTAATCAAAAAAACAATGTCGACAAAAGCTGAGCTTGCATGTGTTTATTCGGCCCTAATTTTGGCTGACGACGATGTCGCCGTAACGGTAAGTTTGCAACAAAAGATTTTCAACCTAACCTCAAAAATGTATTTATGTACCTTATGTACATGTAATTATTTTATTAGTTTAATTTAATATTTCGTCATTAATTAACTTGTTTGTAATTTCTATTTATTTGGAGGCTGCTTTTCTTTTATTGATTACTAGATATTTATGAAAAAAGGGATTATTTTTCCCCACGTGGTTTGAAAAGAACACTTTTTAACCTCACTTTGCGAATAATTCCTGTCTCTCAATTCTCAAATTCCTAAAATTTAAATAAAATAGGTTTTTTTTTAAATTTGGATTATATTTTTGATGTTTTATCATTAAGTTATTTATTTTCCTTGTAGGGTGAGAAGATACAGACCATCTTGAAATCTGCTGGTGTCGACATTGAACCCTATTGGCCAGGACTCTTCGCCAAAGCCCTGGAAGGAGTCAACGTCAAGGAACTGATCACAAAGATCGGCTCCGGCGTTGGAGCAGCACCCGCCGCCGGTGGTGGTAAGTTTAAATTAATTATATAAAAAAATTTTATTTATAAATAATTAATTCAGGGATCACAGATACTTCCCTTTTTTCCCCTTCCCCCTTTTTATCCCCTGAAATTAATAAAATCTTCTAAAAATCATTAATATTCTACCCTTTTTTCTTTTTACTTTTATAAAAATTTACAAATGTCATTTTTTGTAAGTTAAACATGTTTTTTTAGTTATTTTGAAATAAAATTCTTTGAAACAATTCAAATATTTTCAAAAATGTTAGAACATTTTTATCTGCAAGAATTCAATTATTTTAAATAAATTCCTCGAAAAATGTAATTATTCTTAAAAATGTTAATTCTTTGAAAGAATTCAATTAATTTTTAAAATTTTGATAAAATACTTTATAAAAATTCAATTTTAAAAAATACCTTTCTTCGAAAATTTTAATTGTTGTAAAACTAATAATATTTAAATATTTATGATAACAAATTAATTTTTTATCGTCGAAAAGAATTATTAAAGTTTTGAATAATTTTATTTAAAAAATTCCAAAAAAATTATTGAATTTTGAAATATTTTCTATTAAAAATTATTATCAGAGAATAACTGTTACCAAGTCTGAAGTAAATTTTACTAATTTTTTTTTGCTGAAATTTACTTCTTATGTAATAAAATTTACGGAATTTCAAAGGAAAATTTTTAGTCAAAAATTTAGAAAAATTGAAGATTATGGAAAAAGTTTTAAAAAATGTTAAAAATTAACAAAAAAAGTCTGTTTTCAAAAAGTTGAAATTCAGAGAAAAAAGTAATAAAATATCTTGAAAATAAACTTTATACGCTATAATACAATAATTTTGTTTACTTAATTTAAAAAAATCGGTTTTTTTTAAAACTGAATCTCCGTTTTTAAAATTAAAATCCCTTTTTTGCCTAATATTATTTGAAAAAATTGCTGTTATCCTTGTAATTTTCCTCCAATCATCCTCCGAAACTGGTTTTTTTGTGACTAGTTCGGACAGCGAGAGAGGAAATATCAATTATTGATCATTTTAGCCTTATGGGTTTAATCGATAACTATAGATTGAGTCCTCGGCTTTTTTGAACAACAAATTCATTTCCAAAGCATTTTTTTTTTTTGTTTTTTTAATTTTATTAATTCACAAATCTTTTCTTTTTTGTTATTTTTATTCACAAGTCTTCTTTTTTGATTTTAATTTCTAAATGTTTATTTTATTCTAAAAAATTAAAATAGAAACTAAACATTGAATTTAGCTAAATAAAATTTGAAATTGAATGAAAGTTAAAATATGAATTTTATTTTGAAAATAGCGGCCGCTGCTGCTGCTCCTGCAGGCGGTGATGCAGCTCCTGCCAAGGAGGAGAAGAAGAAGGAAGAACCAGAAGAAGAATCCGACGATGACATGGGCTTTGGTACGAATAACAAAATATTTTTTTCTTTATTAAAAAAAAAGAATTCCTCGATAGGAAAAATAAATTCCATGATTACTTTTAACATGTATTAGCTACTGAATACAAATTTGAAGACAAAATTAAAAAATGAGAATTTATATTACTAAATACTTTTTTCTTTGTTTTAAAATTACATTCCCGTATTAATAAAAAACTTTTCTTTTTCAGGTCTCTTTGACTAAAAGTCGATGAATCGTCACCAAAACTTTTCGACTGTACAAACTGTACATTGAAATTTTAATAAAAACGAAAAAAAATTGAAACTTGAACAAATTGATTTATGAATTTCTCGCTATTTTTTTAAGGTAAGATTTTTTTTTCTCCAAAAAGAAAATCAGGGAAATGTCTTATTGATTTTTTTTTCAACCGTAAAAACTGAAAAATCGGAAAAACAAAATCAAATTTTTCTGTCAACTCTGAAAATGAAAAGAAAATTGCAAAACATATTTGGAAGTTATTAGAATTTTTTATTAGACACGTTTTCATATAATTTTTTTTTTTGTACTTGTCTATAATATACGCTAAAAGATACACTTTTAATAATCAAATGAAACAGTTGAAAAAAATAGTTTTTTTTTCTCATTATTATAATAATATGTGCGGCAAGGATCAAAGCCTTACAAAAATGATGGTGCATGCGCATCATAAAATTTTACAGTTTTTTTTTTCCTTTTTTTATGATATAATATTCTCTGAAGATAAAATGCATTCGCTAAAATCCAGTCGTAAGCATTTTTAAAACGTACAGCTATATGTTGAATTTTTGAAAAATAATTGACAAAATTTGCAATTTTTCTGGAGCGGTTAAATCATTCTATTTGTGCGTTTTTTTGTTCTTGTGTTTTTTTATTAAAATTGTTAATTTATAGATACTAATAAATTTAATCGTAAATATTAATAAATATTAATACTGTCTTTCAAAGAGTGAGTTTTTTTTCTTTCCAAAAGAAGTCTTTAGTTCGACATCTATTAAAATTAAAAAAATATTTTCACAAATGAAAAAACTTCCTGAAAGTTAAAATACAATATTTTTGACAAATTTACTTTTTACAAAAAAAAATCAACGGGAAATAATTTATCGACTATCAAAAAATAATTCTTGAAAGTAAAAATATCTATAGTATTTTTCGGCAAATTTAATTTTTACAAAAAAAGCCAATGGGACTTTATTTAAAAAAAATAAAAAAACGAAAAAATGAAAGTAGAAATTAAAAAATAAATTTGCTTTCGGATTGAAAGTAGAAAAAGTTTTTGTAATGGAAAATAAAAGGAATAGAAAAATAGAAAAGTGATTTGAAAAAATTACAAAAAATGGAAGTAGAAAAAACTTGAAAAATGAATTTGCTTTCGAATTGGGAGTAGAAAAAGTTTTTTTGTATAATGGAAGGAAAGAGGAAGAATTTTTGCATTTTTGTACATTTGAACGCTGCACTGTTTTTTTTTGCTTACGACTTTAATGGACAAATAAAGCCCTGGTCCACGCAACCGTTTCTAATCAGAAAATCTAAAAACCTCTCAAGTCTATAGACCATTTCTCTCAATTCATATAATTTTCTTTTCTGTACACAATTTTATTTTTTTTCTCTTTTTATTATTATACACTAAAATTTTTTTCTCTGCCAACATTTTTTATATATATATAGTATATATTATATAGAATAAATCCGTCTCATAAAAAAGCAATATTTTATTTTTCTCATATATATTTAAAATTCTCTCTGTATATAGGAAAATAACTTTGAATAAAAAAATATATCTCGAGCGTTGTGACTCTTGAGGCTTTCAGGTTTCGATTTAGAATAAGCTCGATGGACAAAAATTGAGGGGGGAAAAAATTAGACGATCTCTTGAATCGTTTTTTTTTTCTTGATTGAAAATTGAAATGAAAAATAATAGCAAAAGAAAAGTTGTACTGATTTTGACCCTGATGGTTATTTTTTTTTTCTCTTTTCTTTTGCTTTTCTTATTCGGGAAGTTCGACAGAATTTTCAGGTTCCGTTAGTGATATCCATTGGGCTGAGGCTCCAGTTCCGGACAGAACGCGACGGAATAATTCACGATGACATTTCTCGGATACTTCGCATTTTGCTAGAAGTTGACCAGCTGAACGCAATACGGAAAATTGTAATCGCGATGTGGACAATGCTTCGCTGCTAATGTCAAAATTGAGAATTTCACTCCAGGCGGGACTTGAACCCTCTCTGCGGACGCCAGTTTTTTTCTTCTTCACACTCTTGTCGTCCCGTATAACTGTCACCTATTTGCAATAATAATTAATTGTTATAATTGATTATTAACAGAATTTTTTTTTTTAATTTCGATTTTACTTTAATTTTAGATATTAATTTATTTAAATTTCCATTTTATTTATTCTAATTTTGATTTGATTTTAATTTAATTTAATTTATTTCTTTATTATTATTTCCATTTTATTTTTTCGACAATTCTTCAAAATATTGCAAACAAAATTTTTTGGAAATAATTGATTTTCAGAAGAATTGAAATTGAAATTTTAGAAAATTTTAATTCCTGTGGAAAAATAAATAAGTATTTTTTAAATATTGAAAAAATTATTCAAGTTTTTTGAATAATAAAGTTTAGAAATCAATGAAAGGCCTGTTTTTTGAGAGAAAAAAAATTTGCTTTCTTGATTTGATTTCTTTTTTTATTTACCTGAACGTAGGGTTCAAAATTAGCGGCGGTGTCATCGGGAAGAGGCAAATTTCTGGCTTTAATAACAATGACGGTGAGTTTTTCACAGGATGGCTGATAGGATAATGAGACCATAAGTTCGCCAAGTGGAGGTGCACGAAAACCTTCAGCGCCATAACGAAGAACTGATTTCGTCACTGTTTTTGGAGTCAAATTTAATTCTAAATTTGTTAGCGCAAGTTTCATATATCCTATTCCACGATGACGTGAAAATGCATCAAAATCGTAGAACAAAATTTCCAATGTCCTCTCGGCCAGCGAGCAATGAGGCGGAACTTCAAAGACAAAATCCTCGTCAAATACTGAAATTGCAGAGGAAAAAAATTTATTTATCACCAAACAGATTTATTTTAATTTTTGGTTGGTATTTTTTTCGTTATTTCAAAAATTTATTTTCTTTATTTATTAATTTTCTACTTTATTTATTTATTTTCTTTCTTTTGTCTATTTTCTTTATTTATTTATTTTCTTCCTTTTGTCTATTTTCTTTATTTATTTATTTTCTTTGTTTATCTATTTTATTTCTTTACACTTATTAATTTCCTTCTTTATTTATTTATTTCCTTTCATTCTTTATTTTCTTTATTTACTTATTTATTGTTAATTTTTGTGAATGTTTTTTTGTAGGCAAATAATAAATGGAAACGCTCACCAGGATTTAAAGTTCGCCTGTGAATTCTCGTCTGCCAGACATTATTTTTATCAGGAAGTAATCGAATTTTTGCATAAGGATCCGCCGTTTCGCTTAGATCACGAGCTCGAAGATCACGTGCCTGTAAGTTAATTTTCAAAACCAAACGTTAATAATTTTAATTTTTAAGAAATTTAATATAAATTTAATTATTTTAACAATTTTGATGGAATTCTTTTTAAAAAATCATTATTTTCAAAATTGTTAATAAAATTCCTTCAAAAAATTCAATTATTCTCAAAAAATTCAGATAAAATTCTTCGAAACAATTCAATTATTTTTATGAATTGTAAAATCCTTCGCAAGAATTTAATTATTTTCATAAATAAGAAAATTCTTCACAAGAATTAAAATATTTACATAAATAATAAAATTCTACAAAGGAATTAAGGAATTCAATTATTTTCATAAATAATAAAATGTTTCAGAGGAATTAAATTATTTTCAATACAATTTTAATAAAATTTTACAAAAGAATACAATTATTTTTAAAAATATTATTTAAATTCAATTATTTTCCAGAATTTTAATAAATAACAATTCAATTATTTTTATAAATTGTAAAATGTTTGTCAAGAATTCAATTATTTTTGTAAATAATAAAATTCTTCCGAGAAATTCAATTATTTTCAGTACATCGAATATTTAATTATTTCTGAAAATAATTGAATTCTTGAATAGAATGTTATTAAAACTTTTTAAATAATTGAATCCCTGTGAAAAAATTTATTATTTCTGCAAATAATTGAATTTCTGCAAAATTTTTTAAAAAAGTGAATTTTTTAGAAGAATTTTATGAAAATTGTATTTAAAATAATTAATTCCTGGGGAAAATTTACTATTTATTGATATAATTGAATTATTACGTAGAATTTAAAAATAATTTAATTTTCCTTGAAATTTAATTAAAATTGAATTGAAAATAATTTAATTCCATCGAAAATTTTATTACTTATGAAAATAATTTCATTTTTGAATTGAATTTTATTAAAAGTTTTTTAAAAATTGAAGTCCTGTGAAAAATTGAATTGTTTTTTTTAAATAATTGAATTTTCTCGAAGAATTTTTACAAGATTTTTAAAAATAATTGAAATTTTGAAGAAATCAATTCAAATTGTATTGAAAATATGTAAAATCCTGATAACAATTTTATTATTTATATAAAAGTAATTGGATTCTTTTACGCTGATTTTTATTATTTATAAATTGACTTTTTACAAAAAATTTTATTACAATTATTGAAAATAATTTAATTCTTTAGAAAATTCAATTATTTTAAACATTTTCAGTAAAAATTAATAAAATAAAATACTCCACTATTTTTAAGAATATTGAAATAAATTCTTCAAAACAATTCAATTATTTAAAAAAAATTTAATAAAAATCTTGGCAAGAATTAAATTATTTTCAAATACAATTTTAATTACTTTTTCTCAAAAGAATTTAATTATTGAAAAAAATGTTTATGAAATTCTTGAAATGAATTCAATTACATTCAAATTAATATTTATTAATTAGTAAAATGAAAATATTCGCAAATTTTAATATTTCTTTCTCTCCTTCTTCCTCTAGAGACGAAAATAATTTCCAATTAATATTTATTAACTAATAAAATAAAAGTATTTGCAATTTTTAATTATTTTTCTCTTTCCTTTCTTTACAGGGAGAAAAATGTTACCTCAATTAATTTAACATTGAGAATTCCAGATGAGGCGTCGTAGACTAAACACAATTCAATTTCGCCTCGCGTTTCATTTGCTGATCTTGGACAGGATATTTCATCGCTGTCGGCACTATTCAATCTTGAATTTGATGAACTGTCGGATGATCTTGGTAATGATTTTACAATCACCATTCGTTCGTCTGATGCAACAACAGCTCCTCCCGGTAATGGGGGTGCAATTGGACTCACTGTTGTTCCAATTGCGTCATCGCAACTACACTCCGATGATAAATGACGTTTTGCTTTGGAAAAAAACAAAGAAGAAGAAATATATTACACAATTTGAATTTTAATTCAAGACGTGCGGAAAAATTATGGAGAAAGGAGGAAACTTTTGGGATTTTTTCCCTTATTTTGTTTTTACCTTGTCTGGGTGATTCTCTGGCATTTTCAATGTCACTTAATTGCCAGGTTTCGTCATTACGACTGCTGCTTTGTCTTTGAAGTTTTCGACTAGAGCCGATATCAAATGATGTTTCCTTCGAATTTTCTTCCTCCGCTGCTCTGTTCAGGAGATCCTTTTCGAACCTTGAAAATTTGAGGTAATCTTTATGTTTTTTGAGTTACTTATAAATAGTTTTATACTTCAATTTTTGAATAATTTAAGATTTAAATATTTTTTCTTTTTAAATAATAACTTTAATTAATATAAAAATTCACAAATTAATTAAGTTAATTATCATTTTCAAAAATTAAAATAAAAGTCTTCACAATAATAGATAATAAAATGATTCTCTAAAGAAATCAATTATTTCCATAAATAATAAAATTCTTCACAGGAATTCATTTATTTTCAATAATTTTTGTTCGTATTTTCTTTTCAAATTAACTAATTTTAAAGAAATTTCTGAAAAGAATTCAATTAGTTTCAAAAGTTTCAATAGAAGTCTTCACAGAAATTCAATTATTTTCATGAATGACAAAATTATTCGCAAGAATTAAATCATTTTTATAAATAATAAAAATCATCGTAGAAATTCAAATACGTATTTTTAAAAATTTATCAAAATTCTTCGCAAGAATGCCATTATTTTTATAAACAATAAAATTCTTTGCAAGAATTCAATTTTTTTTGAAAAATAATAAATTTCTTTGTAAAAATTCAATTTTTTTTTATAAATAATAAAATTCTTCGTAGGAGTTTAATTATTTCATTTACAATTTTAATAAAATTGCTTCAAAAAATTCAAATATTTAAAAAAAAAATTGTAATGAATTTCATGGCAGAAATTTGTTTATTTTTTAAAATAGTAAAATTCCTCACAAAAATTAAATATTTTTTACAAATAAGAAAAATCTTCGTAGAAATTAACAAACTATTTATAAAAATTTAGTGAAATTCTTGCCAAGAATTCAATTACTTTTATAACTAATAAAATTTTTTGCAAGAATTCAATTTATTTCAAAAATAATAAATTTCTTTGTAAGAATTCAAATTAAGAATTCAATTTTTTTATAAGTAAAATAAAATTCTTCGTAGGAATTTAATTATTTTATATACAATTTTAATAAAATTACTCAAAAAAAATTAAAATATATTTAAAGATTTTAATAATTTTTATCAGCAAATCAATTATTTTCAAAAGTAATAAAATTCTTCATAGAATACAATACAAATATTTTAAAAAATTAACTGAACTTCTTCTCAAGAATTCAAATATTTTCATAAATATTAAAATTCTGCACAAGAATTCAATTTATTTCAAAAATAATAAATTTCTTTGTAAGAATTCAATTTTTTTATAAGTAAAATAAAATTTTTCGTAGGAATTTAATTATTTTAAATACAATTATAATAAAATTACTTATAAAAATTGAAATATATTTAAAGATTTTAATAATTCTTGTTAGCAATTCAATTATTTTCAAAAGTAATAAAATTCTTCATAGAAATTCAGAAATTTTTAAAAATTAAATAAAATTCTTCTCAAAAATTCAATTAATTATTTTCTATACAATTTTAATAAAATATCTCAAAAGAAATCAAATGATTTCAAAAAGTTTAATAAAATTCTTGAAAATAATTCAATTATTTTCACAAAGTTAAATAAAATTGAAGGGCTACATAAAATAAGGGGACGAACGCGTGGTTGAAAGGGATAATATCAGTCAGGTAGCAGCGAGCGGCTCAAGGCTTGTCACTGCTACCCGACTGGTAGTATCCCTTCCAAGCCTCGCGTTCGTCCCCTTATTTTATGTAGCCCTTCAATTCTTCGCAGAAATTAATTAATTTTTTAAAATTTAATAAAATTCTTCGCAAGAAATTATTAATTTTTATAAATAATACAAATTTCTTAAAATAAAAAAAATAAAAAAATAAAATAAAATTATTTTAAAAATAAATTCAAATATTTTTAAAAATTAAGTAAAATTCTTTTGCAAGAATTCCTTTTTTTTAAATTTATAATATTCTCCCTAAGAATTTAATTATTTTCATAAATTAATAAAATTCTTTGCAAAAATGAAATAATTTCCATAAATAATAAAATTATTCACACACAAATTCATTTTTTTCAGTCCTTTTCATTTGTTTCTAATTTTATGTTTAATTTAATTTAATTTTAATAAAATTTCTCGAAGGAATTCCAATTTTGTTGGAAAAAATGTAATGAAATTCTTAGCAAGAATTCAATTATTAATAACAAAATGCTTTGAATCAGTTCAATTATTTTCGAGAATTTCTCTTCTAATGAGATTTAAATATTTACATAATAAAAATTGAAAAATATTAATAATTATAAATATTAAAATTCTTATGAATTTAATTTGGTCTTTTCAAAATTGATAATAATTTTCAAAAGAATTCAATTATTTTCAGAAATTTTAATAAACTTTTGCACACAAATTCAATTATACTTAACAATTTTTAAAAAAATTCTTCACAGAAGTTCAATAAATGTATTGTAATAGATTTCAATAAAATTCTTTGAAAGAAGTTAATTACTTTTAAAAAATTTCATTCTCTTTTCTATCATTTTTATTATTTTCTAGTTTTCACAAAATTTTCAAATTTTCTTACCCAAATTTCCTACAAATATTTCAAAATTTTGTGGAATTTGTCAAAGAATTGTTAATAAGAAATTTATTATTATTATTATTTTTTTAATATTTACAGATAAAACATTCGGAATTATGGAAGAAAATTGAAATTACCAGTTAAGAGGACCACTAGGATTTAATAAAGGAAGACGACGACGACGAGCACAAATTGTATAAACAAGAACCGCTGAAATTGCTCCCGTGGCTGCTCCAATTGTTCCCAGGATGGCAACAACTCCTGCACCGTGAGTATCCATTTCCTATCCCTCTGCAATTTTCAAAATTATCTTTCTCCCTTTTTCTCACATTTAAGAACATTCTCTAATTTTTAAAAATTAAAATTCCCATTACAATGTTTTCTTCTCCTTTTGAAATGAAAAAAAGTAAAAAATCTTTTATTTTTTCTACTTCAAAACGAAAATATTTCTAGAAAAACAGTAAAATAAAGAAATAAATTATAAATGTCAAATTAAATAATGTTTATAATATTTATATTTATTTATCATAATAAAATGGAAATAAATAAAAATATTATAAGTGCTTGTTATAATTTTTTTTTTATTTTTAGTTTTGTAATATGAAAGTTCATTATTTTAGAATATTTATCACTATAAATATTTTCAAATAATGAAAATATTTATCACTTTAAATATTTTCAAATAATGGAAATATTTATCACTTTAAATATTTTCAAATAATGGAAATATTTATCACTTTAAATATTTTCAAATAATGAAAATATTTTAACTATAAATGTTTTCAAATAATAGAAATATTTTCAAATAATAAAAATATTTTTAGCAATTAAATACCAAAGGTAAAACAATAACTAAATATAAATTCAAACGACATTTAACATTTAAAAAAATCCACTTTTTTAATTTTAATCGCAACACTTTCTTATATTTTTCCGGTTTCTTTTTCTTTAAAAAAAAATAATTTATACAAAAGTATTGTAAACAAATTTTCCAATTAATTTCTCCGTATTTCACAATAATTCACACCTAACTTTTTAATCCCAGAAGGTGACAGTCATTTATGGAATTTAATTAAACAACAAACTCTCACAACCTTCGACTGCCGGGACGAGAGGAGAGAAGTTTTTAATAAAAATTCCCATCACTCGCAATAAATTCCAGAAATTGTAATATAAAAATCGCTTCCATTTTCTAAATATAAAAAAGTAAAGAAATCACAAGGGAAAATATAATAAAAAAAAGGAGGGTGAGAGAGAGTGGTAAATAAAATGTAAATTTTTTTTTTCTATGAAAGCTCGAAAGATCCTTGAGCGCATTAAATTGATATGAAAAATCCACCCTAGATACGAAGGCAAAACGTGACTGATAGAGGAAAAAAAAGGAAGGAAGGAAGGAATTAATCAAGACAAATGCGCGCAAGCGTTCTTAGAAAACTATAACACCACCCTTATTTCTCAGCCTCCATTATTTTTCTGACTTTTAAATAAATAAAAGGAAGGAAATAAAGAAAAAGAAATACAAAAACTTTTTCAGTAATTAAATATTTGGAATTTATGTAATTTCGTATTTATTCGATTTTTTAATTTTGAAAAAGGAATTTATTTTAATGCGGAATAGATTTAAACGTGCCACATGGATTACTTACCACCCTTTTTTTTTCTTTTTGGTTTCCGCTAATATGATTTCATTTTTCCAGGTTTATGGAGAGGGACACTTTGGAACCCGAGGAAGAGAGAAATTTTGAGAAAGGATTTTGTTTTTCACCAAATAATCACACTGTTAATGTTTTTCATGAATGAGGATGAAAATTGAAACAGGAGATGACGACGGACGATTATCGCTATCACTCCTCAAAAATTCAACATGTCCTGTTCACTAGGAATAGTCGTCAGACTTTACTATCTATATATTTTAATCGGAGAGCTGCGTGAACTCCTGCGCGTTTGCACGACGTTTTACGCGCGCAAGCCCTTGACAGTGACCCACGAGATCCAAGAGCAATTTCCAGACTGATGTTAGTATCCGGTCGATAGAAAAAAAATATAATAATGATAATAAAACAAAACGACCACACACATATATGTATATATGGAGGATGACCCGAAAATTCGGTTTTAGTCCAAATAGACTTCCGACCTGTTGCCTGTTATTGATTTGGATAATTTCTCTTCTTTTCTTTTTTTTTTACAGATTTTCTCAACTATTTTAGAAATTCTATTATTATATTATTTCTTCTTTGAGAGGCAGTTGAGTGAATTATTTGCCTTAAGAAGTTGCGAGGAACTCGAGATGCTGGAAAACTTTGGTGACCATGAAATTATTTGCTGACAAGATTTGTTTTCAGTGATGAGCGCAAAAAGGATGACAAATACACTCAATGAAATGGCAATAATTTCACTTTGAAAGTAAATGAATATTGTTTTTAATTCGATGAATTTCGTATTTTTTTTCTTTTTTTTTTGTCTCTAAATAATTAAAATTCGTCTTTTTGTAATTATATATTTCTTTGTGAGAATTAAATTTTTTTCATATTAAATAATAAAATTCTAAGTAATTAAAATTTGATTATTTTCTAGACAATTTAAAAAAATTTTTCAAAATCAAATATTTTCAAAAAATTTAATAATTCTTGTCAGCAGTTCAATTATTTTCGAAAGTAAAAAAATTTTTTGAATAGAAATTCAAATATTTTTAAAAATTTAATAAAATTCTTCGCAAAAATGAGATCATTTTTATAAATAATAAATAGCTTCGTAGAAGTTCAAATCTCTTTAAAAATTAAATAAAATTCTTCCCAAGAATTCAATTTTTTTCATAAATATTAAAATTCTTCGCCAGAATTCAATTATTTTCATAAACATGAAAATTCTTTGCAAGAATTCAATTATTTTTATAAAATAATATTAATATTCAACGCAAGAATTTAAATTTTTTTGAAAAAATAATAAAATTCTTTGTGAAAATAGAAAATTCAATTTTTTTAAAAAATAATAAATTTTTTCCGTAAATAGTAGAATTCTTTTATTATTTAATAAATTTATTAAATTTATTTATTTTTAATAATTTTTATTTTGATTTTTACATATGTTTAATTTTATTTTTGATTTAAATTAATTTTAATAAACTTCTTTACCTATTTCCAATTTTTTTTGGTATAAAATGGAACTTACTTCGATTTGAAATATTAAATATCTCTTAAATATAGAAAATATTTCTTTTAAATTCTTGCAAATTAAATTTTGGAGAATATTAATTACAAATTATTTATTTAAAAATGTATCGCTAAAGAATTATCACTATACAAATTAATAATAATTTAATTTCTTTTTTTCAAATTTGCAATTAAAATTTTCCAAAATTGTAATTTGCGAAAATTCAATGAATTTTGATGAAATGTTATTTTAAAAAATCAATTATATTCCACAAAAATTTTAGAATTGTAAAATTTCATTTTTATTAAAAATACTTTTAAAAAGGAGTAATTAATTTTCTTAAAAGCAATTCAATAAAATTTTGCAAATTAAATTTTGGAGAATTTTAATTTGAAAATTCGAAAATTTTAATTAAATGCTTTTAAAAAGTTAATTATTTTTAATAACATTTTATTTACTGTAAAATACTTTTTATAAAAGTAATTGATTTTTTTAAAAGTATTTTAATAAATGTATTGAAAAAATGTAATTTTGCAGAATTTTATTTATTACAATTTTTGTATTTCAATTTTCGAAAATTCAATTATCATCAAAAAAGGAAAATTCAATTTTTTAATAAAGTATTTTTTAGAAATTTTTTTAAATAATATTTTTAAATTCAATTATTTTAAATATTTTCAATTAAATATTTCTGAAAATTCAAATATTTATAAAAAAAGAATAATTTAATTTAAAATTCTTTAAAAAATCTAATTTTTTATAATTATTACAATATTGTAGAGGAAATAATGATTTTCAAAATTTTTAATTATAATTCTTTAAAATAATTGATTATAATTTTTTTAATTGCCTAAAAATAATTCATTTAAAGGAATTCAATTATTTTTCGAAAAATTATTAAAAATAAATTATTAATTATTGTTATATTAAAAACAATTTTTGAGAAATTTAAATTTCCCAGAAAATTTTGCAACAGTTTCAGCAACTTAATAAAATTTGTTTTATAAATAAATTATTAATTTTAATCCACCCAATAGTGTAGCTTAAATTAAATGAATTTAAAGAAAACAATTTTTAATCAGCTACAGTCACTAATAAATCGACAATAAAATAATTATTTATTTTTAAATTCAAATTTTTTTATAATTAAATTCTGTTTCTGTTTGCAGTAATCTTGGGTTGGCAGGCATACCTGTTGTTCAAGAGCAGCCAATCAGATGTAGTGTGAAATTGTAAATAAAAAATGGCGACAAAGAGAGCCATTTGTTTAGCAAAAGATGTAAATAAATTGCAAATAGTTATCAATAAATCACCATTGTCAATAGTATGTCGTGATTATTCCTCTAATAAACCAGAAGATGTGGAAACTCACACAGGACAGGTAGGGAAATACCATAAAAATACCATTTAACAAAACATAACCTCAAATTCTATTTTGATTACGTCAGTTCTCTTTGGATTTTATTTTTAAAAAATAGTAAATGAAAATGAATTTTAATTATTTATTATTAATATTCATAATCGATACAAGTATTATTAAAATACCGATAATTCTCCTTTTTAAATTTTACCCATAATTTCCAAATTGAGAAATTGGTTCCATAAATAATTGTCTCAAATACATCTACATGGTTTTATTTTCTATTTTGTATTTATTCTATTTATTCAATATTCTAACAAATTACAATGCCTGTTTAATATTAAAGCAGTAAATAGTTTACTATTATAGTATTTATATTTTATTATTATTAAAAGTTCCAATATTATTGAAATATTAAAAAATTGTAAATAAAGGAAATGTCGATAAATTCGTATTGAATGTAAAAGAGAAAGGTTGTTTTTTTGGTTCTATTTTTATTTATTTTCGTGTGTAGAAATTCGATGCTAACGACTATCGAATGGTGAGATTCACTGGATTGGAAGGAAAAGAAGTGAATAAAAATTGGGCAATAAAATTAATCGAAAAAGTTCCACCGATGGCTACAGAAGATCGTATTGTTGCCTGTGATGGAGGTGGTGGTCCATTAGGACATCCTAAAGTTTACATAAACTTGGTAATGAATTAAAATTAAATTTTCCTTATGATTTTTATCTTCTTTATTAATTTTCTCTATAAAAATATTTACAATTTCTCTACAATTATTTCTATAGTTTTGTTCCTTTTCTTATTACTTTTTACTCATATTTTATTTTCTCTTCAGTAATAATTGTAGAATTAAGTTTTGAATCGTTTTTTTTTTGAGAAGTAAAAAAAATATTTTTATTTCTTAGGATAAACCCGGAAATCACAGTTGCGGTTATTGTGGACTTCGATTTTATAAAGATGATCATCATCATTGATCATCGTTATCAATGCTAGTTTTCTGTGTATAATATATTTAATTAATTCAAAGAAAATGTATAATCAATAAATTAAATAAATTAGATATTTCAAGTTCAGAAAAAATTTATTTATTATTGCTGCGCAAAAAGTAAAATTATAAAGAGAGAGAGAGAAACGAAATTCAAATCTCGCGCCACAATTTAATCGATAGGGAAATTTTTTTATTTAAATTCAATTTGAAATTTATAACAATTAAATATCTACTATGAAAGTGAAATTTAGAAATAAATATTAAAGAATAAGTAAAATAATTACACGGTTTTTTTTTGGTGCCAAACAATAATTTTGTCTTAAAATTACCAAAAATTTTGATTTAAAATTTACCGGAGAATTTTTCATCTGGTAACATATGTTCACTGTCGTCAGCTGTCATCTGTGATTGTTTCAACAATATTTATTCTTGTTTTAAGGAATCGAGAATACTCTTTAAACCCTAGAAAATTATTTATGTAATTTATTTAACAGTGACTGTTATTTGTAAATAATTTAATTACAGGTGAGAAAGAATTTATTTGACAATTTCGAAAAGTAATAAATGTTTATGGATTAGTGTAAAATTTATGACAAGTTCTGTCAAGGACATTGTTCAATTATTACACTATTATTATTTCTAAGATAAGATTTTGACAATTAGCACAAATAAAAGATTTATTTACGCATTTTGTATATTTCACGTGAAATTTCAATAGATATAAATAATTTATATCGTAATAGATTGAAATAATTTTATCAGACTTTGGTTATTGAGGAAAATATTATTGATTGCATAATAAACAAGAAGTTTGGGATTTACGACGAATTTCTACATTAATTTTATTATTAAATAAATAATTAATAATTTAGATATTTATAATTGTTTAAAATTAATTTTTGCAGAGATGTCTGGAAATCAAGTACAAAGAAAGTTTATTTTTAATATTTTTCGAAACATTCATCAAAGTGGGAAATTTTGTACAAAAGGAACTCAGGAAAGTTTGAATAGTGATAATGTGAAGAATGCGGAGAAACAGGAGGCAAAAAATACTCCTCTACCTGGTTCTTCGAAAAATACAAGTGGTAGTGTATAAATTTCTTTTTATTTTTGAAGAAATTAAGAATAATTTTTTTGTTAATTTAATTTAAAGTTTATACGTATTATTTTATTTAATCGATTATATTTATCTTTATTCGAACAGATTCTATGCGTCAATATAGGGAACTTAGACTGGTCGATAAATGGTTACTCGTTTGGTTTAAAAAATATAAATCTGTCAAGGATATACCATCTCGTATTCCGTAAGTATTTATTTATTATTAGGCCTCGAATTAAATTTTTAATTATTAAATAATTAAAAACATAATTTTTTGAATTTTTTCAATTTATTTGCAAAAAATGCGAGTCTTTCGTCTTTTTTTTACAAATATGTATTGCTAACAAAATAAAACATTATTTTAGTTATAATTTATAATTATTCAAAAATTAAAATATTTTCAATTATACATATTTGCAAAAAAAAGTAATTTTTTAGAATTATTATTCAAATTTTTGGAGAAATTATTCATTTTCGAAATTCTTAATTAAAATCTTTAAAAATTAAATTTTTTTCAAAAAGAAAGTAAATTAAGTTTTTAAAAAACTGCTTCTTTTAGAATTCTTCAGAAAAATGATGTTTTTTCATGTTTATAATTAAAATTCTTCAAAAAATTTGATTATTTTTTAATAGTTATTCTGAAAACAATTATTTAAATACAAAAATTCAATTTTTTTAAAAAAAGAATTGAATTTTTGTATTTAAATAATTGATTTCTCAAAGAATTTTCGGAATTTTATTAAACAATAATTGATTTAGAGAAGAAGTTTACTGAAATATATTGTGGAAAATAATTGAATTTTGAAAGAATTAAAATTACAATTTTTGGAAATATTTAAATTATATACAAAATTGAAATTACAATATCATAAAAATTTTAATTTAAAAAACTCAAATTCTTGTAAAAAAGTAAATAACAAGTATTTAATTATTTATACAATAAAATTATTGAAGTCTCGAATAATTAAATTTAGAAATTAGTGAAAAGTCAGGAAAATAAAAAATTTTGAATTTGGAGAAAAAAAATTGAATGAGAAATAAATGATTTTAGATTTTTTTCTTGTATCTTTAATTCGACTAAAGCGCCTTTTTTCAACTCTCTTTTAAAGTCGATCTAAGGCTCTGTTTTCTAATATATAATAAAATCAAAAACTAATATTATATGAACTTTGATATTAAAGTACATTTTGTTATGAAAGCTTGCTAATAAAATTTTTCTCTCTTATTAAAATATAAAAAAAAAATAAATACAATTGAAATTCATGACAAATTTTATGAATTTCAGTTACGCAGAACTCGATCATATTCACGACAAAAGTCGTATTCGAATTGGAAATATTTTAATGGCATTCGGTCTAATTATTTGCGCCTATGGATATTTCAGTGGAAAGCAAAGTGCCAAAGAGGGTGATTCATTGCAAAAAAGAGTAGAAGATCGTCACAAGAAAGCTCGTGATGAATATTTACTAGCGCAACAACAGTCAAAAGGCACTTAAAAATATTTTAGCGGAAAAGAATCAAAACTTTAACCATAGGCGAAATTCTGTACATTTTAGTCCATAATTAATTGTTGATATATTATTTAATTTTCAAATAAGAATTTTTATTATTGCAAAATAATAAAATTTTAATTTATATTTATGTCTTAATATCATTTTTATAACGAAATTTCATTTAGTTGAAAAAATTCCTTTTTTCCTAATTTTTTATAATTTTATAATTTTCCATTTTTCACTTTTTACAAGTAGAAATAAATTGAATATCTAGTATTTTTTACTTAGGTAAAAAAAATTGATTTATACAGAATTTAAAAAAAAATTAAATAAATTAACTAAAGGGGGGAAGAAGTTTCCATTTTCGTTAAATTTTTTTTTTTTTATAAGGCTGTTCTTTGACTATTCATACTGAGAGGAATCGCTTGAAGTTCAGTTCTCATGCAAAGAAATTCACCACACACGCACATTATAATAACACAGACGATATTTAAACACCACCAGCTGAATGTCGTTGGAAATGTTCCATTATAGAGCCAACAACAAATAAGATGAATTAAATGCGCTGTACAGGCAAAATCCATGCATTGCTTTGTTCTTTGTACAATTCGCCATAGTGCAAGTGCACCAATTAGGGCATTTATTATAAATATCGTTATCACTAGATGACCACCAAAATCACGTACATGAATTTCTTTATATTGAAATGCATAGTCAAGGGAACGTGTCGAGCCCATTAATGTTGCCGTCATCCATATCCATATGCCGAGGAAAAAATACATTATTGTCTGTACGGCAATTATTTGGCATATTATTAAAAATGGATCCCATGTTGTCTTACGAAATTGTCCCGAAATTCCGTTCATCTCGATAAATTTTCTTCCTCTCAACTCAATTGAGATACGAGAGAATTTATTTCAAGTTCATTGACTCTTTTTCTAAACAAAAAGAATTCGAGAATTTCAGAATATTTATGAATAATAATTATATTTATAATAATAATAATTATATAAAATAATAATAAAAATATAAATAAATGACGAAAATTAAAAGAAATTAAAAAGGAATTTATAATTTATAATTCACATTTTATACGAAAATAGTTTTTATCTTATCTTAACTACAGGGCTCGAACTAGTAAATTTGCTTGAAGTCCGTAAAACTCCGTTTTTATTTAAAAAAAAGTCCGAATTAAATTATAGTAATAATAATAATAATAGTAAGAATATCTGTTTGTTATTCAAAACATGACAAAAATGATGGAAAAAAAACAAAGAAATTGCGTACAACAATATTTCCATTTTTCGCACTTTACACTTACCTTATAAACATTTTTCACATTTTTCAAAAAGTTAAAAATAATAAACTTGTAAATAAAATAAAAGACATTTTTTAATTTCGAATAAAAACACCTTTTATTTACAATATTACAATCTTTACAATTTCAGTTCGAAAAAAGAAAAGCAACTTTGAGGTTAGGTTCTTGACGTCATTTGCATGTCATTTGACCCATTTGACACATACTATTAAATCTCGTACATAGGTCGCTATATGCATTCACTAAGGTCCGTTCACATTTTTCAGTAAATGTCTCATCTAATTGGTAATTTCCGTTTATTGAACGCACGTCATTGGTTTCGATTCTCATTCTTTTTTTAAATGCAACATTTGACATGTGATCGCACATGTGACATGTGACAGATCAGCTGATTAATGGCTAACGAAAACATGGTGCATTTTTCTGTTCAACCCCAGGAAAATAATAAAAATAACAAGAATAACGAAATGGAGGTGGACAATAATGAAGACGAAACCCTAAATCCAGAAGGTATTTTTACAATTTCTTTTCTACGAGTCTAAAATTTGTTTTCTTGAAATAATTTCAAGCAGAAAAGTTTGAGAACCTGAGACGTAATTTAATTGATTTAATTAAATAAATACAAATACAACAGTTCTAAATAAAAAAATCTAATAATCCAATTATTAGATTTTGTTGTATTTATGTTTGTTGCTTGTTATAAAAATAAAATTTCCATCAAAATAAATGGTAACTGAGTAAATAAAATTATTTAGAATACCAAGCATTGAACAACAAATTGGATCAATTGAATTCGGTTTTGGATTCTCTGGAAAGGAAAAACGATGACATTCACGCTGAGCTGAAGAGTTTATTGGAATCGAATCGGAAATTCCGAAAGCAAATTCAAGAGGCTGGTCAAGAAGAGTAATTAAGATTTGTTATTAATTTTATTAGCTAATTTTTGCGAAAAAAACAAGAAAAAAATGTAGGAGAAGAAAACTATTCAATTTTCGAATTCAGAAATATGAAAATAGTTTTAATTTAAGTACAAAACACTACATTCTTGTAGTTTTTAAATAAAATGCCGCATTTTACTTATAGAAAAATAACAGATTTTCAAAAGTGATACAATAAAAAGAAAAATTTGAAGAAAATTATAATAAAAAAAAATAATAGTAAAGAAAATAATTAGAAAGGAAATAATAAGAAAAAAGAATTAAATAATAAAGAAAATAATAAGAAAAGAAATTATAATAAAAAACATAATAATGAAATAATAATAATTAAAAAAGTAATAAAATAAAAATCAATAAAAACAATAAAAATAGAGAAAATAAAAACTATTGTCAATAAAACGAAAATTGTTAACTTGAAGAACGATTTACACCAAAAGTGTCAGTTAATTTTTATTTGTGCGTCGATTTTTCAATTTTTTCTGTATATTTACAATTATTATTATTTTCTTTTAAAAAAGTTATATTTTGTCTAATTGCGAAATGAACGAAAAACGAAAATGTAATTTTATGGCGTTTGCGCAATTATTAATTTTTATTTCCTCGAATAAGTTGAATCTCATCGAGAAAAATTATTTTATTATCACTTACTGAATTTTTGTTGTTTACTAAAAAGAACAATAAAGAATTTATTTTACTTTAATAAGTATTCCTAACTGCAAATTTCCTCGTATTTTTTATCCAGAAATTAAAAATTTAGATAAAACAGAAAAATTAGTAATTAAAAATTTAAAGAAGACGGAAAAATAAATAATAAATATGAATAACAGAAGAATCAAATCATAAATTTTATTTATTTTATGTTTAAAATCATCTCAAGTGGAAAATATTCTGCAAATTCTTGTTTTTGAATCATTGTCGAATAATTGTCTTTAAGGATAATTAATTGAAAATTCTAATATTTATTTTTAAAAAAGTCCTTTTAATGTTTTTCTTTCAACTACATTTGTGAAATATTCGATTTTTATATTCTAAAGGATTCGCGGCAAATAATAAGAAATCTTTGAAAATTTCATTATCAAAATCTTGAATAATTAAGGCATTCGATTCGTTATTATTGAAATGATCAATAACGACTTGTCCTCTTGTTTTGTTTCCATTTAATTCAATATCAACGTGATACGGAACTAAATTCGAGGCCATTTTTGGATTTAATACCACGGCCGTTAGAAAAACGTCACAAGGTACGTAGAATGGTAGAATTTTTTCCGCCGACGCCGATAGTATTTTCTCTTCAATTGCATTCATTAAATGTACAACTGGCGTGTCTATTTGACCGAAAACTTCCTTTCGCCATTCCTAAAAAAAACAAATTTAACCAAATTAAATATTTTATTTAAATGTAGGTATATAAATAAATAAAAATTAACAAAACATAACAATAGAAGAAAATAAAAACAAAATTAATTTTTAGAAAATTAAAATAATTGATATAATAATTAAAAAATAGCGTAGAATAAAGAAACATACGTATGTAATTTGTGATTTTAAGCAAGTTTCCCAAGGAAAGAGCCACAATTTATTAGTGCTACAAAGAACAATGTGAGCGCTTTCTGGATCGGAGAAGAAATTAAATTCCGCCTGTGGTGTTGTATTTCCCAAAGCTGAAAATAAATTGTTATTAGAATAATATTCACATTGATTCGTCAATAAATGAAAATAAAAATCGAAACAAAAATAATAATAAATAATAATGTCATATTAAATAAAACAAAAGTAATAGAATAAAAAAAGAAAATACCTGAAATATTTTTTCCTTCCATTATTAATATTTATAAAAACAATTTTTTTCATCATCTTCAAAAAATGTAAAAAAAATTTCTTTAAAAAAAAATAAAATAAAACGACAGTTTATAAATTATAAAATAGTGATAAACAAACGAAAGTAATATAAACTTAAATAATAAATAAAACGAAAGTAATTTTGTTTTATTTAACATTTCAGTTTTTAAAAATAAAAAAACAAAAGAAAGAAAAAAACTTAATAATTAATTAATATTTATAATAATAATAATAATAATAAAAAGAAAATAAATAAAAATAATAAAAAAAATCGAAATTCAAAAGAACACAAACCAGTGTAATTTCCACCCATAACATAAAATCTTTTTACATGATTTGCAAATTCTGGATACATTTTAATTGCCAATGCAATATTGGTTAATGGTCCAAGTGCTAAAATCGAAACTTCTCCTTGAAAAAGAAGAAAATTTTTTTGTTAAATTTTCAATTCGATTTTTTTGTTTCGAATTAAATGCTCACATGAATATTATACCAGAATATTCTGAAACTATTCTTTGCAGAGCACAAACGGCGTGCTCTGATTTTAATTTACTAATATCGGGTTTGTTTTGAAAAACATTTCCAAAACCATCAGCTCCGTGATATTGAATATTTGCGGCAATTTTTGCATTTTCCGTATTAAGAAGCGATGAATACGCTCCCTTATAAACGGGAATCTAGAAAAAAGAATCTTATTTTATTATCAGCATTTACAATAAAATAAAACATTTTTATTATTTATAGTATTTAAAAAATAAAGAAAATTAATTAAAATAAAAAAACAAGAATTAAAATACTGTACACAGTGTTTTAATTCTTGTTTTTTATTTTAATTTAATTTTCTTTATTTTTATATTAATATATTTTGTAATAATAATTATTAAGATATTTATAAAATTATTAATAATAATAATATATTTTTTATCAAATATATTTACATATCTGGATAAAATTTACCTTTTTTTAAAATAATAGAAAAATATTTTAATAGTAGAGTATTAATTATTTTGTTAATTGTAGTAACTTATTATAATTATTGAACTTACTTCAGATCCATTGCAAACTTCTAAAGTTCTAAATACATTAGAAACGACATTATCTACGGAAGTATTTCCATTCACGCAAGTAATGCCCATTAATTCAATTTCATTTAATTTGTGAGCCTCTATTAGTAAAATTAAAGATAAAGCGTCATCAGTTCCAGCATCACAGTCGACGATAATTTTCTCTGGCTTCATTCTGATATATTTATTTATAACAACAAAAGAGGTTATTATTCTCTTTGTGTGAAACCAATTCTCAACTATGGAATAAATTTACTATTAACAATAGCCACTAGACTACTTATTATAAATTTATTATCATCTCAATAATTAATAATAGCCACTAGATTATTGTTAATACAGTTTATCTCTTTTGTAAACAATTTATGACGAAATTCTGATGATTGATAATGTTTTTACAGTTTTCTTGATAATAAAAGACGTGAATATACTTCCCTTTTGTTACAATAGAAAATAACAATGAACCACTTTTTGTAATTTAAAAAAAAAAACAAAAACTATAATTCATAAACAAAGGAGACGAAACATTTGATTTTAATTTTAAACCAAATAACAAACGTATAAATAAAAATCTAGATTTGTAAACTAATTTAAAATACTTAATTCAATCTGAATATTTTTGTTTAGAAATAATAATAATTTTCTTTTAAAAGTAATTTCGAAAATAAAAAAAATTCGCATTGTTTTTTGAAAGAAACAATCACGTGAAGTCGCGAACTGTCAAACTGTCACTTTTAGAGGTTAGGTTGTTTACAAACGTTACAAACTTTCGCATTATATAATATTCTGCCTTATATTATTAAGTTTATTTGATAAATAACTCAACAATATCGTTATAAATGATTTACAGTCATATTCCAGTAATAAAAGTAATTAATAATTGCTTTAATTAATTAATCCTTTCTAAAAAAAGACATGGGATAAAAGAATCGAATGCACTCGAAAGTGTAACTCGAAAAGTATCGAAAAGATTAAGCATCGGTAATATGAATAGAAGGGCGAACTCATGTTTCCAAATGAAATTGTAGTACATTAAAAATTCACATATACTTAAGAGATGGAGCTGCAGTCTGAAATTATTCTTTTACCACTAAATAAATAATAATATAAATAATAAATAACATATAATTTGTAATTAAAAATATAATTAAATTAATAGAAAATTTTACACTTAGCAAAAAAATATTTTAAGTAAAATAGAATTTTATTTAAAAAATTATTAAATTGAAAAAATTAACATTTGAACTTTTAAAAATTGAACAAAAATGAACATGGAATAGAAGCAACGAAGACGGCCGAAGGCCGTCTGAGGCGCTAGTTTAGGTAAAAAAAAAACGTTAGTTCCGGGTTTGTCCGCAAGATATAGGTAGATGTCGCCCCGAAAAATGGTGTTTTTTGGTAGTTTTTGAGTTTCACATGTAATTCGACTTTGTCGAAACTAGCACTCTCATTGGCTAGATTCAAATTTGCGCGCGAACCAACAAGCCAATGAGAGTAATATAAAATATAAAGGTGCATTTCCACGTAGGTCGCTTTCATTGGCTTTTTGGTTCGCGCGCAAATTTGAATCAAGCCAATGAGAGTGCTAGTTTCGACAAAGTCGAATTACATGGAAAACTCAAAAACTACCAAAAAACACAATTTTTTGGGGCGACATCTACCTATATCTTGCGGACAAACCCGGAACTAACGTTTTTTCACTTAAATTAATTAATTAAAGCAATTATTAATTACTTTTATTACCGGAATATAATTGTAAATCATTTAGAAGAATTATAATTAAGTTATTTATTGAATAATAGTTAATAATATAGTGACGTATTATTATATATTAATGTTTTGATTTTTAATTACAAGTTTTGGAGGTTTAGGAAAATGACGCGTACTGTGCAATCACCTTTAAAATGTTAAAAAATGTTATTTTTATAGTAAAAAATAGAAAAATACAAATTACAAATTTTTTTAATACTTTAAAATTAATTTAACATTTTTTTAAAAACTACTTTATATTAGTAATAGTAAATTAGTAATTATTAATTTTAAAAATGTATCACTAATTGTTGGTGACTTTTTTTTATTTTGGTAACACTGGTTGTTTCTTGTGTGTGCATGATGTGTGTTTTTGAGTCCCATTGTCAACGTTTAGTGGGCGGTCTCCGGTTGTTTTTGTATCCTGTAAATATATAGGAAATTTCATAAAATATTTAGTGTAAATTAAATATTTTTAACCATTAATAAGTGATAAATTAATTTATATTAATTTTTGTAATTGTTCAAATAGTGTTTGTTTGCAGTTTATTATAACCTAACCTTCTATTTGTTGATAGCATTTTTTTCTTTATTATAAAGTATATTTTTTCTTTGTTTCACTTTGTGTTTTCTTCTCGTATATATATATAATTACGTTTTTGAAATATCTTTCTTCATAAATCCATTGTTTGTGTGATAAAAATAGTTTCGTTTTGAAAAAAAAATATATATCGTGCATATCAATAATTATTGAGAATAATATATTGAGAGCAGATCAATCATGTTTCGGAAAAGCATTTTCCTTCTTGTATTAACTTTAATTTATTGTGGATTTGCTCATGAAGAAGATGTACATACTGTTCAGTATAATGAGGAAACATTTAAAGAAGCAGTCAGCAAGAAAAATCACTTTATCATGTTTTACGCACCTTGGTAAGATTTTGTATATTTATTTTTAATTAAGTACTGCAATTTTTCGGAGTAATCCATTTTTTACTACTTTTATTCTTATTTTATTGATATTAATATTATTATAATTATTATTCTTATTATATTATTATTATTATTATTATTATTATTATTATTATTATTATTATTATTATTATTATTAAATATTATTTATTACAGTCGATTGATTATTTTATTTACTATTTCTTAGGAAATAATTTGATAATAAATAACGAAATTGCTTGAAAATTATTTTTATTGAAAATGTACAGAAAAACGAGGTTCTGCTTCGAAAGGAAGATGGTATTGAATGATAATGTGAATGATTAGATAAAAGTCCAGTTTTATTATTACATACGTGGTGATTTGAAGAGTTTAAACTAATATTAAAATTTTTTGTTTAAAAAATACGAGAAAGAAATATTTTTTAACCAAATGAATTTAATAAATAAAATTCACTTTAAGATCGAAAAATGTAAAATTAAATTTAAATTCAATTAAAAATTAAATCAAATTTAATTTAATTAAATTTTCGTAATAAAAAATATAAATTTAATTTACAATTTTAATTATTCAAATGCTACATTAATAAAATTACTAATTGTAAATGAGAAATGAAATTAATAAATGAGATTAAAGAAAGCGATTGAGATATGGACTGATGCTTCTGTATTTCAATTTTAATTATCTATTAGGGAGATTAATGCATATGATAATAATTTCTACATTAATATTTACTTCGTGAATAATCGTCTGAGTAATTTTATTTTTATCACATTTCACGAGATAATACACATATATTTATTTAATATTAAATTATTCTAATTAAAAAAACATTTATTTTTTTCTGTAAAACACTTGAAAAAATGTTTAATTTTTAAATTTCTCTTCTTTGTTGTTAATTGATCTCATAATTGAATTATTGATAAAAATTATTATCATGCTAATATTTTTTTAAAAATAAAATTAATTTAAATAAATTATTGTTCCAATGAAAGTCATACAGTAGATTAAATAATGTATAAAAAAAATAATAAAATAATAATAGTAATATTATAATATAATATTAATGAGAATAAGAATTTTATTAAAATAATATAATAATAGAATATAAATAAATTCGGGGGCAAAAACTAAAAAGTTACTTGGAATAGATTTTTTATTTATAAAATTTTAGTTTAGATTTAAATTTCCAATTAATTATAATAAAATAATTTTGTTTTAGTTTTTTTGTAAGTTCATTTATACTGTAAATAAATAATTAAATGTGTATTAAATTAAAAAGCTTGTAGTTATAGAAAATAAAAAAGTATTTTCGAATATAATTTTAAATTCTTGTGTAATAAAAATTTTAATTATTATTTTCTGATTAAATTGTTTTTAGGTGCGGTCACTGCCAAAGACTTGGTCCCATTTGGGAGCAACTTGCAGAAATGTTGAACGAGGACGATGACAGTCGTGTTAGAATTGGAAAAGTCGATTGTACAACAGACAATACAGTTTGTTCGGAACATGATGTGACTGGTTATCCTACGTAAGTAATTTTTTTTTACAATTATTTCTTTTAGAATTATGTATTAAATTCTAATTTTTAAATTATGTTTAATTCTAATTTTAGAATTTATTAAAAATTTTCATTGTTGACGTCGCATTATTCTTTTAATTTACTAAAAAATTTGAATTTTCCTTTCTAAACGCAGGCTCAAATTTTTCAAGGCTGGCGAATCACAGGGTACAAAATTCCGTGGAACTCGCGACTTACCATCTTTAACTTCATTCATCAATGAACAATTGGGCAGCAGTCCTTCAGTACATAAATTTTATATTATTTATTCTTAAGTTTTTTCTTCTTTTTATCGTAATTTTTTTATTTATTTATTTTTATTATTTGATTATTTTTTTACTTTTCTTGTATATTTTTTTGTTCACTTTCCTTATTTTTGTTTGTTTATTCTTTTTAATTGTTTATTTTTTTGTTTCTTTCTTTTTTCGTTTATTTAAATTGTATATGTATTTATTTACTTTCTTTATACTTTTTGTATTTATTATTTTATTTACGTTTTGTTTCTTTATTTGTTTCATTCTATTCATTTTTTTTGTCTTTTTATTTTGTTTTATTAATTTTTTCCTTCCTCGTGTAGGAATCTTTTTTTATTTAAATTCTTTTGTTTATTTTTTTAAAAGTACAATGAAAATAATTTACCTTTAAATGAAAAAAATAAATTTTCAGGAAGAGGAACAAAATGAAGAAGAGGAAATCGTACCTTCAATTCCAGAGGCTGTGAATGGATTGATAGAATTAACTGAGTACACATTTGACAAGCATGTATCGAATGGTAATCATTTTGTTAAATTCTATGCACCTTGGTGTGGACATTGTCAAAAATTAGCGCCAACATGGGACGAACTTGCCAACAGTTTGAGTCACGAGAAATCAGTGAGCATTGCCAAAATCGATTGCACTCAATATCGTAGCGTTTGCGGTCAATTTGACATTAAGGGATATCCCACATTACTCTGGATTGAAGACGGTAAAAAGGTAAATTTACAAAACATTTTCAATTTTTATTCCTTTTTGTAGAAAAAAAAATCCTTTATTATTATCATTTGAAAGACAATGTCTTTCAAATGATAAATGAAAATGAGAATGAAAACAATGTCATTGTTTTCATTCTTTGACTTACTCAAAAGATTTAGATAGCCTTTTGTTTGTTTTTTTTATTAAATTTGTCACACAGGGAGCAATGGGAAACATTAACCAAATTTTGGTAACATTTCTTTTTAGTAAATTATAAATATTTAATTATGATTTTTACTGGCAACGATTATAATCCTTTGGAATTTTAAATAAATATAATAATTAATAATAATAAACTATATTCCTAATGGTTGTATTTTGGTGCTTTTTGTTTCCTACTTTTTATTTAAATTTTTCTTTTTGATGTTTTGAATTTAAAAAATTAATGAAATTCTAATTTAATTCTTTGAAGATTAAAAAATACCAAAAATTAAATAAATCACATTGTTTTCAATTCAAAATATTTCTTTTATATTATTTCTCTTGTGATTCTCAATCTGAAATATGTAATTGAATTTTTACAAAGGAATTAATTAAAATTTTTCAACATAAATAAATTTCTTGCGAAAAATGTAATTTAAAATCTTTAAAAATAAGTTAATTCTTACGAGGAATTTCGCTAAAATATTATTAAAATTATTTAAATTCTTGTAAAGAGTTTTATCAAAATTTTTTAAAATAACTAAATTTCTGCAAAGAATGTTATAATTAACATTTTTTTTAAATAATCCAATTCTTTAGAGGAATTTTATTACAATTTTTATAAATAATTGAATTCTTTTAATAAATGCTATTAATTTTGAAAATAATTGAAGTCTTGGTAGGAATTTTATTAAAATTATATTAAAAATAAGTAAATTTTTATAAAAAAATTTTACCAAAATTATTGAATTACTACGAAAAATTTCACTATTTACGAATAGAATTGAATTTTTTTTTTAAAGGTTCTAACTAAATTTTTTTCTTGTAAACAATTTTATTAAAATTCTTCAAAATAATAAAATTTATGCGGAAAATTTGATTAAAATTCTTTAAAATAATTAAATTTCTGCGAAGAATTTTATAAATTACAAAAATAATTGAATTCTCATAAATAAGTTTATTAAAAATTTTCAAAAGTAATTGAATTTCTATGTTCAATTTTTTTTTTTTAAAATTAAATTCCTGCGAAAAATTTAATAATTATTTATGAAAATAATTGAAATCTTGCTCAAAATTTAATTAAAATTTTCGAAAATATTTGAATTTGTGTTCAAGGAATTTAATTAAAATTATATTTGAAATATTTCAATTCTCATAAAGAATTTAATTAAAATTTTTCAAAAGAATTGAAGTTTTACGAAGAATTTTATCATATTTTTTGAAAACAATAAATAATTATAATTAACTATTAGTAATTTAATTCTTGCGACGAATTTTATTTTTCATGTAAATTAATTGAATTCATGCGACGAATTTTATTATATATTTAAATAATTGAATTCTTGTGACAAATTTTATTTACATTTTTGAAAATAATTGAATTTTTGAGAAGTTTTATATTATTTATGTGAATAATTGAATGTTTTTCTGCTCATGGAAATAATATTGAATTCTTGTGACGAATTTTATTTAAATTTTTAAAAATAATTAAATTCTTCTATAGATTTTCTTCTTGATTGAAAATAATTATATTCCGGCGAAAAATTATATTATTATTTATAAAAATAATTAAATTCCTAGAAATAATTATATTATTTACAAAAATAATTTAATACTTGCGAAGAATTTTATTAAAAGTGTATTAAAAACCATGGAATTCTTGCGAAGAATTTTATTAAAATTGTAATGAAAATAATTTAATTCCTGCATGAATTTTACTATTTATAAAAATAATTGAATTTTATTATTCATGGAACTAATTTGAATCCTGCGACGAATTTTATTTAAATTTTTTAAATCGAGGTAAAAATTTTATTAAAATTAAGTAAATTTTTATAAAGACTTTTACCAAAATTTTTCAAAATAATTGAATTTCTGCGAATAATTTTATTTATTTCGGAAAACAATTCAATTTTTTCAAAGTATTTAATTTTGTTTTTTCTTGTAATGTATTTTATTGAAATTTTTCAAAATAATAAACATTTGCGAAGAATTTTATTCAAATCAACTTTTTTTTTACAGAAAGATAAATACACTGGACAGAGAAGTCACGAGGATTTGAAGACTTACGTGTCGACAATGCTTGGCAAGAGTGCAGAAGGTGATGACAGTGAAGAAAATGATGCCGATCGTTTAATTCCATCGGTGGCTGTATTAACCGGAGAAACATTTGATCACGGCGTCGAGAATGGAATTTCATTTGTTAAATTCTTTGCACCATGGTGCGCACATTGTAAACGATTAGCACCAACTTGGGAGGATTTAGGAAAGAAATTTTCCAGCAAAGATGGTATAAGCATTGCAAAAGTTGATTGTACAATGACACCAAGTAAATCACTGTGTAGCGAGCAAGAAATCGATGGTTTTCCAACTTTAATTTTATATAAAGATGGAAAGAAAATTTCCGAGTACAATGGATCGCGTAGCTTAGACGATCTCTATGAATTTGTCATGAATCATTTACAAGCACACGATGAACTGTGATTTGCTTCCTATAATCAATTTTTTTAAAATTATTTTAATGCGTGTACAAAGTCAGTATTTTATGAAATATTTTGATCGTCAATGACCCGAATTTTTTGTTTCCAGATACAAAAAAAAAAAAAAAGATTTGCTATAGGAATAAAAAAATACAGTTTTTTTATTGATGACTAACAGATTTCTTTTCTTTTTTTTGAAGTGAAATTTTTAAGATATTTAAAATTTTTATCTCCGTGTACTTAGAATTTTATTTACAGTGAGAAAGAGTTTGTGTAGCGTTGTGTTAGAATATTTATTGATGTCAATTTTTGTGACGTTCTTCCAGTTCTTATTTTGTCTTGTGTCATGTCTTCAAAAAAAAGATAAAAATATTAAAGTGTATTTTACAATATATTTTTTTCTTCTTGCTGGAAATTAATTATTTATTTCGAGAGAGAGAGAAAAAAAATATTTGCCATAAGGAGAAAATGAAAACAGTGTGATTTAATATTTATGTTATATTTTACAGTTACAATCTGTATTACATTTATACATTAATTTCATGTACAAGACAAATTCCAATGTGCAATGAAGATATTTACAATGTTAGAATGCAGATTTTTTATACTCTATTTTATATCGGCATTTTTCAAGAATTTTTCAATTTATCCTAATTTTTCCATTTTTCAATTTTTACATTTTAATTTTTTTCCTCCTATTGACAAGTAAAGTCAAAATGATAAATTTTTTTTGTCATTTTTTTCTTTTTATTGAATATATATCAAGTTTCTGGAAATTTGCCGATATAATTTTTCGAAATCACATAAAAGTCTTAAACTTCCAAGAAGATGTTTCTTTGTTTTTATATTTCAAAAAACCTCACCTCAAGTTTCAATAAAAATTTTGTCGAAAAAAATTATTGTATTTTGTATTCATTTAAACGTTTAGGTATTCACTAACTATAATAATAATAATTATTTAATAATTTCCATAATTTCAAAATGAATGAATTAATTTTTAATGTAAGTCATTAAAAAATAAATTAATTACAAGTTGATGATTAAAATTTTAGTATAAAAAATTTGTTACGATAGAGAATGGAAAAATTAATTTCTATAGTTAGGTAATTATAGGAGTAATTTTTGAAATTCTATTCGTAAACTAAGCGGTACATTTACAATTTCTAGAATATTGCGCTTAAAATTTATCGTTAATTGAAAAATTATACAGTAATTAATTAATTATATTTATATGGAAATTTTTTAGAACAGCCGTCATAGATCGTCGCAAGTTGAGACGAATTTATTTACATTTTATAATTAAACGCCTACTAAATATTTATAATTAGAAGGAGAAAATTTCTTTACACTAGAATTGAAGCAAAGAACAAAAAATTCTATAATCTTGATAAATTAAAAAAAAATACTATGAGAGATTGCACATTTTTTTTATCACTCACTTTGATGAATATTATTCGCGAAGTGTTTTGGAACGAAATAAAAATTTTTTTTTGGAAATAAATTGTACACTGCAAAAATTTTCAACTGAGAATTAATTTTGAAAATCAAATTTACGAGAATTTAATATATTAATTAATTTTTAATTGAATTATTAATTTGCTCCGTAATTTTAAATTTAGTTAATCAATTTTAAATATTTAATTGAATTTCTCGAAAAAATTTAATTATTTTCAAAAATTATTAATAAAATAATATTCTGCTCAAGAATTACATTTTTTTCAAAATTGTAATAAAATTAAAATTCAATTATCTTTAATACAATTTTAGTTAAATTTCTCGGAAGAATTTAATTAATTTCATTTTTCATAACAATTAAATTATTTTCAAATATTTTTTTTTAAATCTGTTCAAGAAATGAACTGTATTTCAAATTTTTTTTGATTTTTTATAAGAATTCTTTATAAGAATTCAATTAGGTATTTTCAATTTTCAATAGGATTTTTATTAAATTCTTCGCAAGAATTCAATTCTGTTCATTATAATTATAATAAAATTTCTTAATAATTTTTAATAATTACAATAAAGTTCTTGTAAAAAATTCAATTATTTTCAAATCTACAATTTTACTTAAATTCTTCGTAAAAATTTAATCATTAATTATTCGAAATTAAAAAATAATTTTTCTTTTCTAATTTCTATCAATTTTTTAGAGACTAGAAATTATAAATCATAAATTATAAAGAAATAAATTCTATTGACAAAAACATCGTCGAATTTTTTTTTGCAGTGTACATTACAGTTATTTTATAGCGAAAAAAATTTTCCAGTCTTTATCTCATAAAAATCGCTATTGTACTTAGAACAAAAATTTCTAAATTATGACAATAACTGCATATTGTTGTGTTGTAATAAAAATTAAGTTATTCCAAAAAGATCTTTTCTATTTACGAATATTATTGATAACGGAAAGAAAAAATATTTACAAATTAAAATTAAATTAAAATTAAAAACGAATAATTGACAAATAAATAACAAATTTAAAAAATATACAAATTTTAACATTAGAAAACAACAATAAAATTTCATTTCGAAAAAAGAATGATAATTTAAAAAATAACAAATTTCCAAAGCGAAAATTAAGTCGAGTTTAATTTTTTTACAGAATAGAAAAAAGAAGAAGAAGAAGAAAAATTAGAGTCGATAGGATAATTTCTTTTCGAAATAGAAAAATTCTTTAAACGCTAAAGCACCTAAAAAGCGAGAAAATTGAATAAATTCAGATTTAATTCTGAATATCGATAATATTCTAAATACGAATTTAGTAATTTTAATTACAGCATTTACATAAAAATGATCGCGTAACGATGATATAATTATCTTTAGAAAAATTTCCGTCTTTTTTTTATATATTTATTTATGTCTCGTTGATATATTTAAAATTATGATATATCGAAATTTTACCAAAGAAAATTACTATTTTCATTTACTTTTTTTTTATATATACGATATAATCTCCTAACAGTGAGTATTTTGAGTATGAGATTCCATTTTATATATGTTGTCTAATAGATTGGCTATTGGTATTTGTCCAATAGTTTCGCGGAAAAATAAATATTCAATAGTCTTTGGTTTAACGTCGTCTAATAATTGCAATAGACGTTTGAGTTTCCAGAATTTTTGATGCGAATAACGATGCGTTGTATACTCTAAGAATATCGAGTGAACTTGAATGTAAAGCATCTCAACTGCTTCTGGAGCGTTTAGATCGTCCACTTCTGTATCATTATTAAGCAAAAAAAAAAAATGAAATGTAGAATTTTATTTTACAAATTTTTAACTTTCATTTTACTAATTTTTAAATTTTATTTTCTACAAATTTTTCAATTTTATGTTAATAATTTTTAAATTTAATTTCAAAAGATACAAAATACATTTTTATTTTTAACAATAAATAATTTAAATAATGGGAAGGGAATTCATTGCTTTTTTAGTTTTAGAAAAGAAGTGAATTGAATTTTACTTGATTTTGTAATTGATAATTTTAAAAATTTACCTGGAGTAAATAAAACTGCACCTTTCATGCAACCCCATTCTCCACTGTCGGGACAAATTTGCTTGTACTTGTAAATTATTTTCTGAAAAATGAAAAAACTAGGTATTATTTCCAAATAATAAATTATATGGATTTTATATTTATAAATTACAGCAAAAAAATTGAAACAATTCAATTATTTTCAATACAATTTTAATAAAATTCTATCCAAACTTAAATTATTATTTCAGATTTAAAATTATAAAAATTATAACTTTTTCTTATCACAAGTTTTGTCTTTTAAAATAAAAAAAAATTCACTTATTTTCATAAGTGAAAATAATAAAATTCTTTTGGAAAAATTGTATTACAAAGCTTATTTTCTAAATCTGAATTGGCAAAAATTAATTAGGAAACAAAAGCAAATAATTTGAAACAGAATCATCTGAATAAAAAAAATCGAAATTCCTGGATTTTGCGAATATTTTTGTAGAAATTCCGAATTTATTTCAATTTATAGTTTAAAAATAATATTTTTTTTTATAAAGCCACCTGAATAGTTCGTAACTCCTGACGTGAACTGCTATCGGGAAGTCTTTTTCGTGCCTGTTCATCGTCCAAAAGTCCAATGATGTCCCATGATGTGGACCATTGAGCGAAATGAAGAAGAAATAACTGTGTCCAAGTTTTTTCCAACAGTAATCGTTGATCATATTCTGGAAGTGCTTGAAATGAAGCAAGACATTTAACCCACTGCACCACCATGAATAAAAGTCTCGCTGTCGTTTCCTGGAAAAAATAAAAATTCCACATGAAAAAGAGAATTAGAAAAAAATAAAAGCTAAAAAAATGTTTATTTAACAAAAAAATTAACGTATTTTTCGTAAATGTCCTAGTTTTCGAAATTTTAATTCCTCCTGGACAAATAAATAACAAGTATTCAAATATTTATTAAACAAAAGGTTTAAAAATTAATCAAATTTAAAAAAATTTATTTAGTAATTCTGAAAAAATGATTTTTTTTTAAATCGTAATAAAAAAGTTTTTGAAAATATAGTTGAATTCCTAAAAATAATTTTAAAAGATTGAAAAAATAGTAAATTTTCTCACATTTCATTAAATTAAATTTTATGCTTCAAAGAATTTTATTTTATCACTTTTAAAAATTATTTTTCAATATTATTGTATTTTTTGAAGAATTGTAACTAAAAAATTGGAGAATAATTAAATTTTTTTCAAAAATTCTTGTACTAAAATATATTTCAAATAAGAACTGATTCAAAAAGAATTCCAGTTAAAATTTTGAAAATTACTGAATATTGGAAGCTTTATAACAGGAATTTTAAATAAATAAATAAATAAATAAATTTTAGGAAATAATTTTGTTTTAAAAATATTTGTTTAACAATAAAGTATTAAAGTTTTGAATAATTTAATGTAGAGATTTTTAAAAAATTTAATTAGTTATATAAAAAATAGTAAAATTCTTTGCAGGAATTCAATTATTTTAAAAACAATTTCAATTGAATTCCTCAGAAGAATTCAATTTTTATAAAATTTTTAGAACATTTCGAATAAATACAATTATTTTCTAAAATTTTAATAAATCCTTCGAAACAATTCAATTATTTTTATCAATATAGTAAAATTCTTCGCAATAATTCAATTATTTTTATAGATAGTAAAATTCTTTGTAGGAATTCAATTATTTTAAAAACAATTTTAACTGAATTCCTCGGAAGAATTCAATTTTTATAAAATTTTTAAAAGATATCGAATAAATTCAATTATTTTCTAAAATCTTAATAAATCCTTCGAAATAATACAATTATTTTTATAAATAGTAAATATTTTTAAATATATTTGTCAAAAAAAATTGAGAGTTCAATTATTTTCAAAAAATAATAAAATTCTTTACAGAAATTCAATTTTTCTCGAAAGAATTTAATTATGTATTTTCAAATATATTTCTATAAAATTCTTCAAAACAATTCAATTATTTCCTAACATTTTATTAAATACTTTGCAATAATTCAATTATTTTTTAAATTAATAGTAAAATTCTTCACAATAATTTAATTATTTTTATAAATAGTAAAATCCTTTTGCAAAAATTCAATTCTTTTCAACAACAATAAAATATTTATCTCTCACTTGTAAAACTTCCCAAGTTGGACTAAAAATAGTCGCAACTGCCGATGGACTACGACTTGTTTCTGTTTCAGTTTGTTCTATTTCTTCCAAGTCTGACTGCAAACGTGTATTCCATCCTACTTCCTATTTGACACACAAACAAAAAAGAGAAGACAGTTAATAAAATTAAAATTTTCCTGACAATATTCTAGTTTTTACAAGGTTGACAAAAAAGGTAGGACAATTAATAAAATTAAATAATTTTCTGCTTTTTGCAGGAAACAAAAAAAGAGAGGACAATTAATATCTATTTTTTGTGCAGGAACCAAAAGAAAAGGGAGGGCAATTAATTAAAATTTGATTTAAACGAATTACAATAGCGACCGCGTATAATTTACAAATGAGGGAAAATCAGTAGAAAATGGAATTAGTGAGGCGGATGAAGAGAGAAAGAGAAAGAGAATGAGGAGAAGAAGAAGAGAAAAGCGCAACTTGTTGGCACTTTGTTTTGAAAGTGAAAATTATTCAGGGATTATTAGCATGAAAAGTGGAAAGGAATGAGGGGAAACAATTTGGGGTGAATTACTTACCTGGCATTTCTCTGCGGCTAAAATTAGTTGTAGAAGGGGCGGTTGCGGTGGTTGTGCGACGGTAACTGTCGTCGTATGATAGAGGGTCGTCGTCGATGGAGAATGAGTAAGTGCCAATGGTGCAGGCGGTGGGGAATCCTCCGATGACTTATGAATACGAAGAGGCGTTGGATAAGGCGCAAATCGTTGATCCATTCGAAATCTTCTGCAAAATTATTCAATTTTCATATATAAAATACACACGACAACAAAAATTAATAGAGTAAAGTAATATTTAAATTTTTTAATTCCGTTAAATAGAATTTCTATAATCTTAATTATAAAATATCTTAATAATATTAATTAAATTAATTAAATTCATGATATGAATTTAATTATTACTATTACTCGGTTTAATAGAAATTTAATCTAATAAATTTAGAATGATTTTTTATTAGAATTTTCATTTTATTTTTCTGTATAGAAATTCAATTCCATAATTTAGAAAAACAATTCCATAATTGCAAAGGAAAACAAAAATTAATTAAGTGTTGAAAACCGAGTGATAGAATCATTATTATTATTAAAAGAAAAAAATATTCTCAAGTTAAAAATGTGACAAATTAAACAAATACAGACTTTGCACTCGATAACAAATGTTAAAAAAGTAGCAAAAAGTAACTTTCAAACTAAAAAAAAGTAGTAAAAAAGTAGCTATCAAAAAATTAAACTTGATTAAAAAAACTCGTTTTAGAAACTTCACAAAACTGACAAAAATTCCATTCTATATTTTATTTTCCTGACTTTTTCCTAATTTTCATCAAAAAATTAAACTTCCTTCTTATCCTGCTAATAAATTGAATTCCTGCAACGAATTTTATTATTCATGAAAGAATTTAAATATTTATAATAATAATTTAATTCTTGCGAAGAATTTTATTAAAAATTTTAAATAATTCATTTCTTTCGATTAATTTTATGCAAATTCTAATTTAAAAAATTGAATTCTGTTATGAAAAATAATTAAATTTGACAAAGAATTCTATTTAAATTTTTGAGAATACAAATTGAATGTCAGTGTCGTATTTTATTAATTTTTTTTTGAAAATAATTGAATTCCTAAAAAGCATTTTATTATTTATAAAAATAATTGAATTCTTGCGAACGATTTTATTAGAATTTTTTAAAATAATTGAATTTCCAAGAAGATATTTATTAATTTTATAAATAATTTAATTCTTCGATAAGAATTTTATAAAAAATGTTTTAAATAATTAATTTTTTCAATATAATAATAAATATTATGAAAATCCTGCGATAAATTGTATTATTTATGAAAATAATTGAATAATTGCAAAGAATTTTATTAAAATTTTCAAAAATAATTGAATTCCTGAGAAGAATTTTATTATTCATGAAAATAATTGAATTATTGCGAAAAATGTTATTAAAAATAATTGAATTTCTTTGAAAAATTTTGATATTTTTAAAAATAATTTAATTCTTCGATAAGAATTTTATAAAAAAATGTTTTAAATGATTAATTTTTTCAATATAATAATAAATATTATGAAAATTTTATTTTAAATAATGTGAATTCTTGTGGAAAATTTTATTTGTGAATATAATTGAATATTTCGATTAATTAATTAAAAATAATATTAAAAGGTAATTGAAATTCTTCGATGAGTTTTATTACTTACGAAAATAATTGAATTTTTGCTTAGAATTTTAACAACAATTTTTTGAAACAATTGTGTTTTCATGAAAAATATTATTAGTAAAAGTAATTTAATTATTGTGAAGAATTATATAAAAAGTTTGTGAAAAATTGATTTTTTCGAAAATTTTATTGAAAATCCTATTCTAAGTTAATTGAATTCTTGTGAAAATTTTATTATTTATATAAAAATATTTGAATTTCGAATAAATTTTACAATTTTTCTTTTAAATAATTGAATTCTTTTGCGCAATTTTATGAAAATACTGGATATTGAAAATAATTGAGTTTCGAATATTTTTTGAAAATAATTGAATCGTTTTAAAGAATTTGATTATAATTTTTGAGAATAGTTTTTTGATTTTTAGTATTAGCGAATTTAAAGTAGTGAAAATTCTTTTTCTCTCTAATAAAAAAAAAACATAAATAGTTAGCTTTTTAGCAAATATTTAGAATAAATTTGAGAATATTCTAAAAACAAATTAACGGTGGAGAAAAAATGGTTAACAAGAGAACATAACAAATAACCTTTGTGGAACGAAGGGATGTGTTGAATTAATGTCCATTCGTGATCCGTTGTGATGAGGCGAAAGCTGCGTTAAAATTGAAGGCGGTTGTTGATGTTTATCCGACAATACTGAATGTTGTTTTGCTTTCCGCGGTCCTCGTTCATGTTGTACGGCTGAAAATAAAGAGATAATTTATTATTTATTTTTACTTTAATTTTTTTTTTAGTTTAATAAATTACTATTCGGTTCATTCTTGTTTTTTTTAGCACAAAAAATATCTTTTACGAATCATCATCATCATCATCATTTTTGTTTAAAATTTGACACATAAATGAGATGCAAATGTAAAGCAAATATAATCCTTTAAACTTTATATATAGCTTAGTGTATAGAAACTAAGCCGACAATTATTTATTCGCAATCAAATTATTTGCAGACGTAATGAAATTAACTAATGATGTTTATCAGAGGTGAAAATAATACATCGATCATTTAGAATTTAATTACACAATTCGTCACTTCTGTTTTTATTTATTTTCTTTTTGGGGAAAAAAATCAAACCGTTTAGAATTTCTGTACATTTCTAAAATACCCTTATTCGCGTCCATTTCTTTTTCATTGTTTTCGAAAAAGAAACAAAAATGAAACATATATTCGAACAACGTGAAATAAAAATAGTTATAAAATAGATCGTAAATTTTTGTCATCAATATAGAGAGACGTGGAGGAAACATAAATATAATACCCACAGGGATCACAATACTTTTATTCTTTAAAATAAAAGAAAAAGTGAATTATTTTCCGAAAATATAGTTGACAAAAAAATATTTACAAAAAATTGACGTGCAATACATTAATTTGTATAGCAATTGTTATTTTTTAAAATTGAAAAACTAACAAATTGAATTCAGAAATATAAATATTTGAAATTTGAATAAATTGAATTTGAGACGAATTTCAATAACATTTTTAACAATAAAATTGTATTTTTCGAGGAATTTATTTAAAATTATATTAAAAATAATTGAAATTCTATGACGAATTTGATTTCAATAACATTTTTAAGAATAAAATTTTATTTTTCGAGGAATTTCTTCAAAATTATATTAAAAATAATTGAAATTCTATGACGGATTTTATTTTTTATGAAAATTATTGCATCCCTGAGAAGAATTTTAAAACTTTATGAAAATAATTGAATTTTTAGCGAAGGATTTTTATTAAAATTAAAAAAAAATTTAAATAATTGAATTCTAATTAACAATTTTATTATTTGTTAAAATAATTGAATTCTTGTGAAGAATTTAATTAAAATTTTTAAGAATAATTATATTTCTCGAGGAATTTGATTAAAATTTTATTAAAAATAATTTAAATTCAGCTACGAGTTTAATTATTTAAAATAATAATTGAAAATAATTGAATTCCAAAAAAGATTTTTCTTATTTATATGAAAATAATTTTATTATTGCAAAGAAACTTACAAAAGATTTGTAAATAATTGAATTTCTGTAAAATTTTTATTATTTATGAAAATAATTGAATGTTTGGGTAGAATTTTATTAAAATTTATTTTTTAATAATTGAATTCTTTTGGATAATTTTATTAAAATCGTAAATATTGAAGATCATTGAATTGCGGAAATTCTTTGAAAATAATTGGATTTCAGAAAAGAATTTTATTATTTATAAAGATAATTTTGATTTTAATTTGAAACCTCTTTTCAAAATTGAATTATTTTTCAAAATTCATGCTATATAATACTTTGAATATTCAATTATTATCTAAAATTGTAACGGAAAAATTCATTATTAAATCAATTTTTATTAGAAAATTCTACGAGAACTAAATTTTTTAAATACAAAAATGAATAATTTTTTGAATAATTAAAATGTTTCTAAAAATATTGAATTCGCGCGAAGAATATTATCAAAAAATTGGTAAATAAGTAAATATTCTTTTGACGAATTTTAATAAAAAATTGCTCCTTTTTTCGAAAAATTCGATTAAAATTGTATTAAAAATAATTGAAAATTCTGTGATGAGTTTTATTATTTTTGAATATAATAGAATTCCTAAAAAGAAATTTAATATTTGAAAAAAATTGAATCTCTGTAAATTCGATTGTTTATGAAAATAATTGAATTATTGTGAAGAAATTTATAAAAAAAAATTTGTAAATAATTGAATTCCTGTGAAACTTAATTGTTGGGGTAGACTTTTATTAAAAATTTAAATAATTCGAATTCTTATGGATAATTTTATTAAAACAGTATAGGTAGATATTCAAAATCATTAAATTGAGGAATATTTTTGAAAGTAATTGAAATTTTGCCAAGAATTTTTGAAAATAATTGAATTTCGGTTTGAATTGAATTTTGTTTGCTTCTCAACTTTTTTAATTTTGTTTTTCAATGTTTAGAATTTTAAAATTAATGCACTGAAAATTAGTAAATTCTTCACAAGTTTTTCTACAAAAATTTGAAAATAATTAACGTGATTTGAAGAATTTTATCAAAAAAATTTTTTAAATAATTGAATTTTTTCGAGAAAATTTAATTAAAATTTGTATTAAAAATAATTGAATTCTCGCAAAAAATATTATTATTTATGAAAAGAATCAAATTCTTCCAAAGAATGTTATTAAAATTATTGAAAATAACTTAATTCTTAATAAGAATTTTATTAAAAAATTGTTTTAAATAATTTTATTCTTGCGAAAAAGATTTTATGTTTACTGTAGTAATTAATAATTATTACGTACCTATTTATTATTATAATCATAAGAATGTAAAGAAAAAAAATAATTTATTTTTGAAAAATGGTTTGTTTTATCTAGAATTTTCTCATAAATTTTAAAAATTTAATTTTTTCCTGTACTTTTAATAAAAATTCCTGATTTTTCCCTGATTTTCTTGGTGAATTCTATTTTCCCCGATTTCCTTGAAAATTTTTATTTTTCTCGATTTTCCTGACCTATGGCAACTGTTTTCTTCTTTTTTGAGAAAAAGTCGCCTATCATAGGCCTGATTGATAAATAATTGTATAGAAATATATACAATAGAAAAAAAATAGAAAATAGAAAAACGGTTTGCCAAAGAAATTGAAAAGTTGCCAAATTGTGATCCCTGCTGTAATATAAATTGCAGAGAATTTTTTTTCGAAAAGTGTATAACAAAACTGATGGTGAGACGACGATGTCGAAGGTGAATGTGAATGTGTGTGTGGGCGAAAAAGGGAGGAAAGCGCTTTCCGTCGAAGTACAAGAGAGAGGTATAGTAAATGTGGTGCGGCCTGGGTTTTCAGCTTGCAGGCAGGGTTTTGAGCTTGGTTCTCGAAGAGAGCTGGGTTTTGGAGGCATGAGAGCTCTATATACCGACATCATCATTAATGAGGCTGAGCGGATACCAGCCGCGAATTCCCACGTTCCCAGTGGCGCAGCAATATCCGTTTTATCCCTTAACGCGTATATGACCGTGTCAACGACGGAGCAAATCACTTTTTAATTCCACTCTCTGTAATCTCTTTTACTTTTTGAGAGCAACGCCATTCACTCCCATTGTACACACACGTCTATATTTTATCAGCCTTTTTTTTTTTTTTTTGTTCATAAATTTTCAACTTTCAGCTCAAAAATATTCTCCTCTTCCTTATTTCCTTAATTTCTTTATTCAAATCAACGCAGTTCGATCAAAGTTGACACAAAAATTTAATTTTCTTTTTTCCTGATTTCCAGAGAGAATTTTGCCATTTTTCCTGATCCTAAAGAATATTCTGATTATTATTTTTCCTTGGAAACTAAGATTTTCAAAAATATCAAATTTAAACCTTTTTGAAATTTAATAACTTATAAGAATTCTTTTATTATTATAAAAACATGAAGAAGTCAATCACTCCGAGTCTTCGACTCGAAGTGATTGACTTCTTCATGTTTTTATAATTTAATTAAATATTAAATATTACCCAGTGATAAAATTATTATTTTACATAAAAATATTTTTACTCTAACTTCTTCGAAATTATTTTCATCATTTAAATTTAATTAATATTTTCTAGAATTTTTAACTACAATTGTTTCTTTAAATTAATTATTAGTTAAAAGTATACGAACAATTTATAATTCCAAAGATTTGAATTTGAAACGTTTTCAAAAAACCATTATTTCTAAAAATTAATGCTTTAATGCTTTTAATATTAAAATTATTATCCAAAATTTTAACCGAAATTCATTTTGAAATAAATTTTTATTAAAAAATTCTTCGAGAATTCAATAATTATTTAAATACAAAACTAAATAATTTATTAAATTATTAATTAAATTTAAAAAAATTAAAAAATTGAATTGAATGTTTCTTAAAATTGAATTTTGATGAAGAATTTTATTAAAAACTTTTCAAAATTTCAAAAAAAATTCCTTCTTTTAAGGAATTTAATTAAAATTTTACAGAAACTTATTGAATTAAAGAATTTTATCACAATTTTTGAAAATAGTTGAAAACTTTTGAAAAATTTTATTAAAATTTTAAAAAATAATTGTATTTATGAGAAGAATTTAATTAATAAGTTATAAAAATAATAATTGAATTCATGCGAAGAATTTATAAAATAATTGAAATTTTGACAAGAATTATATTAAAATTTTTTAAAATAATTGACTTCTTGAGAAGAATTTCAAAACTTATTTATAAAAATAACTTAATTCTTGACAAGAATTTTTTAAAAATTTTGCAAATAATTTATTTTGGGCAAAGTATTTTATTGCTTTTCAAAAAAATTGAATTCTCGTTATGAAATTTTCTATTTATCAAAGTAACTGAATTTTGGAAAATAATTTTATTAAAATTCCTTAAAATAATTTTTTGGAACGAATTTTGTTTTTTATCAAAATAATTGAATTCTTTTGCAGAATTTTATTATTTATGAAAATAATTGAATTCTTTCGAAAAATTTGGTTATTTATGAAAATAATTGAATTCTTGTCAAGAAATTTATATTAATTTATGAAAATAATTGAATTCATACAAAGAATTTTATAAAATAATTGAAATTTTAAATAGAATTATATTAAAACTTTTAAAAATAATTTACTTCTTGAGAAGAATTTCGAAACCTATTTTTATAAAAGTAACTTAATTCTTGACGAAAATTTTTCAAAAATTTTGAATATAATTT